CAAAGCCAAGTATACCATAGTAGTACAGTTTTACTATGAAAACATAAAAGAAAAGTTGCTATCAGTGTTGTGCCTCATAATCAAACAGATTTGAGAATAGAAATAAATCCCTATATACCTGTTAACAGTTATGTTTGGCACCATGAAGGTTTGCATGTGCAATAAAGGGTTTTACATTCCACTGAGCATACTCCCTTTGAAAGTATGCCGGTGATTTTATACTCTTGTGACTGGGGGGGGGCGACAGCAAGTATTTATGCAAATGAGTGCATAGTGGTATGCGTGGTATATTTCTCCATGTCAATTCACAATACAGTGGTGCCCCGTATAGCGATGTTAATCCGTTCCGGATTAACCATCGCTATGAGAAAACATCGCTATACGGATAGGAAAATGCCATTGGAACGCATTAAACATCGTTTAATGCGTTCCAATGGCTTCTACACTCACCGTAAAGGGATGTTTCCTCATAATGGCAGCCATTTTCGCGCCCTCGGTAAGCGAGGGCAGGGCGCGAAAATGGCTGCAGCCACCGATCAGCTGCCATGCCCTCCTCCCCAGCTCCCCCCTGCTTCTTCAACCGGCTGACCGGCCGGCGATCGGCCAGGAGGGGAAAAGAAGCCTTCTTTCCCCTCCTGCCGAGCGCGCAGGGGCTTCTCTGGCCGGCGATCGGCCAGGAGGGGAAAGGAAGGGTCCTTTCCCCTCCTGCCGAACGCCCTTCTGGCCAGCGATCGCGATCAGCCAGGAGGGGAAAAGAAGCCTCCTTTCCCCTCCTGCCGAGCGCGCAGGGTCGTCTGTGCCAGTGATCGGCCAGGAGGGGAAAGGAAGGCTCCTTTGCCCTCCTACCGAACGCCCTTCTGGCCGGCGATCGCAATCAGCCAGGAGGGAAAAAGAAGCCTCCTTTCCCCTCCTGCCGAGCGCGCAGGGGCGTCTGTGCCGGTGATCGGCCAGGAGGAGAAAGGAAGGCTCCTTTCCCCTCCTGCCGAACGCCCGCCGACTTTTCCCCCCAGCTGACTGGCAGGAGATTCGGAAGAAGCCCCTCCTGTCAGCTGGGGGAAATGGAGCCTATGGGGAAAAATCGCAAAGCGATTTTTCCCCATAGGAAACAACGTTATGCGATCGCAAAAGCGATCGCAAAATCTTCTTCGTTAAGTGAATTCCTCGTTAAACGGGGCACCCGTTAAGCGAGGCACCACTGTATTTTCATTTAAAAGAGCCTCTAGCTATTAAATACATCAACTTCCAACCTTCCTCCTTCCATGAATATTTGTTTTATGATACTGTCTAAAAGGAAGCTACATGTTCGCTGTTTTAGACACTCCTTGAAAAACCTCTCCTGCTCTGATTTGTCAATGACATTCTTAATTTCTAAAAAATGTGAACATCTTAGCTAGAATCATATCATTGTCCTAAAGCATTGCAGCTTCACTCTATTTGGCGGATGTGCAATTTTACAAAAAGCATCATTAATATTTAGGTGTGTTACAGATTACTGTGCTGTATGTTACACATGAAAGCACATGCAAATCATACCATGCAAAATCAGCAAGGTTCTCCAATGCAACTTTACAACAGGCATCAGCAGGTGATCTACAGCATATCCAATGTGCATGAAAGCAGGAAGACCAGCCCTACTATTGCTTGTTTCATGAACATTTCTCAGTATAAAACTTCAGTATAACATCAGGGCAGGATCCAGGATTTAGCGGCCAAATGTCATTTCTATTAGCACAAGAAACAATGGAGTCATTTATAAACTATCAAAGAGACGCTAGACTGTATGTACTCAATGAAAGAAGGCCTTTGAGGAGTTGAATGTTGCTGTCTTAAAATGAAGCCATAACTCATACCCACACAAAATGAACAACAACTGTTGCTTGAAATGTTAACGCTAGTTAGCAGTGGGAAAATTCCAATGAAATGCCATCCCAGTCAAGGTAACTTGCATTTTTTATAGAATTTTTTTTTAAAAAAATCTTGCACAAAGGTTTACCTGTTCTATTACATATATGGATGCATTACTTTATGCAACAAGGGCAGAGCTCTTTAATGGTATTTGTCAACTAAACATAGATTTGGGCAGCAGATTCTTTGCTGGCCTTACAAGGTGGCCAAGTGTCACATCGCAAAGGTCCTGAATGTCCTTATCAATATTTAGTAACTAGACAGAAGACTAAAAACACACACAGGCCACCTGGTCACAGTGTTCTCTACTATTGTAAAATACACTGCATTTCTTTTTGAAGGATAGTGGCCAGGTCAGAATCCTATTACTGATTTGTGCCTGTGTAAAGGAATCTATGTTTAGTTCAATGAGTCTTGGAGGCCAACTGCTGTTTATTAAAAAGGTGCTGGGCATTGCCAAGACTTGAAATGATTTTCTTTCTAATAAGTATAAAGTTTAAATGTGCCTTTGTACAAACAAATTAGTAGAGGCAACTTCTCTGCAAGACACCAGTACTCTCTTTCATCCTCTTTCTTGGTAGGACCAATGTTGAGAGATTAGCTGTGGTTAGGCATCTACCATGGTTCCACACCCCATCGGGGCCAAACTGGCAAGAACTCCCTGGATTGCTTCCTTTCTTTACCACTGTAATCAGTCTGTACAGCTTGCCTCTCACACTAGTCTCAACAACCTCTCTGGTGAGAAGGAGGAGCAGTAGATGCCGCTGCCTGCTTGCTCACTAACTCCATGCTTGCCAAACAAACAAGTGGTGGCTATGGTGAAAAAAGGAGAGGAGAAGGAAGAAGAACAACTAGGAACAATAGTGGTAAGAAGACAGAGTCATTGATGGATGGGGATTGTTGAAAGCATCTTGCCCACGAGCCTGGAATTTGCTCCATCTTTGAATTGACTGTCTTATGGCCAAATAACAGTTCACACACAGATCTTCATGGAGGATGAACACTGCTTGAACAAGCTCATTAAAATAAAAATGGGCACAGTACATCTCAGATGCTACTTTGGGCCATAATATGTCCAGCCTCCTTAAAGCTTCCTCTTCCTAAAGGCCCACCTTCAAGTCTTTGGGGTCCTGGACAAAAGACCATATGGTAGACCCCCCATTGTGACAATGCTTCCCCACTCAGTGTTACTTAGCAACAGCTGCGACAGCACTGGGTGCGCTGAAGGTGATTTTCCCGCAATATTCTGAAGAAGCCTTGTGGGAATTAGAATGGAGGCCCACAGACAGAGAACAGGTGTCAGTGCTGAAAGTCAATGCTGGAACACTGAACTCCTTTCTTTACAACCACTAAAATGCTAAGAACTGATCCCCAAAGTTGATACACAGTTTTGAAACCTGAACATTCCTTTGAATCACAAAGAAGTATTTTCAGTATTTGCTCCTTTCTAAAGGGATAGTTTTAAAATACTTTTTGAGCAGTATTCTACTTCTAGTTTCAACAAGAATAGACTCAACAATTCAAAGGGATTTACACAAGTGTTGACTTAAATATTTTGCAACCGAGTCAACAGTACTACTCTCTAGTTGAGGCTAGCAATAGGAGATCTAGTAGTCCTATACAGTGTACTTTTAATTCTTTAAAGTGATCTGGACTTGAAAAATATATGCATAGAGTTCAGTTCAATGAGATGAACACTTCTACAGGCCTACATCTCTGGGGTGAAAATGAATAGCATAAAAATGGAGAATATGGCCAAACTGGCTGGGGGATTCTGGCAGTGGTAGCCTAAAACATATCATTTTTCCAAGCTTTGGGCCTTTGGTCTGATAGTACAATACAGTTCTTAAACAGTGATTCAAGGAGTTTGATATGGAAAGGAAGATTTTGATAAAATGTGACCAAACCATTATTCTTGCGTTTTTTGGGTAAGGTGTTTCTAATACCTCACTAGGAGGTCACATTTGGAACTCTATCTATTTAGCCTTAGATAGATGGGTAAATAAATTCAAATTTGAAAAACTCAAACAAATTCTCCCTCACACACACCTTTTTTTCTTTACAGCCACTTGGAAATTATTGTACTAGGAATCTTGGTGGTCCCATATTACCTTTGTTGTTGTTCAAATGGAAGTGCATAAACAATGAGCTCCACTTCCTGCAGCACCGGCATTTTTATAAAAGCCATTGAATGTGATATTATGAAAATTGTGGGCCATAAGTTAAGGCATTGTTAGTCTGTTCAGCAATCTGTGTCTAGTCAAACCTCCTTGATCTCTGTCATCAGAAAAACCAAACCAAGTACAGCGTCCAAATACAGACATTCTTAAGTGTTTCACAATTGTTCTGTAGGATCTGTACCACAAGTAATCTGTGGACTACAGTTTAGAATCTTTTAACCAGAGTGAACTTTTTAAAAGTAGTATTTATTTCTGCATCAAGGCTTAGAAGAACTTTAACCTTAATATAAGAAAAAGAAGGCAGAGGAGGAAAATGTTCACAGGAGATCAAGAGATTTTATAAAATCATGCCTTTTAATGCAACCAGTAACTCAAATGAATTTTAATGCATTTTCGTATTACTTACACCTTAGTGTAAGTACAGTACTAAATACTCCTTGAAATACCGAGGAAGCAAAAGATCAAACTGCAGCTTATGCAACGAAAGCTAGAATTCACAGTTTGAAAGAAAGTGTCTCTTTGATACTTTATCTTTTACGGCAGATAATTACATTGGCTACCCCAAGCCAACACAGCTTCAAATCAAAGACAACAATGTGCCCTTAAATCCGAGCCTCAGCCAATTAGAGTTGCACAATGCAGTCCTAAAGCAATTCTTCTCAAAGCCCTGAACTTCTTCTCAACATGACCAGAAAAACTCCTTTGCTCAACTATGAAAACATCTGGGTTAAAAATCCTTGAAGCCTTAAAAAGATAAACTTCATATAGTTTTAAGTCTGAATTCTGGTGAGGGTGAATGCCATGCCACAAGTGGAAGCTGCAACTCCAAAACATGCATGCTTGTCTAGTTTGAAATATGTGCACTGCTGGAGTATTTTCAAGTGGAATGCTTCTCCCAAACACGGGCAACTTTACCTTCTTTGTCAACAGCTGATCCACCTCTTGCAGCTGAGGGCCACGCTCAATGACTGACACCCGGGCATAGTCTTGCTTTTTGTTCAGCCTGTTTTTCCAGTCTTCTTCACCACTCTTCTTTAGGAGAGCGAGCCTAAAAATTAGGGAACAGGAAAGAAACCCAAACAACACCATATCAGCATCAACCTCCTGAACTTCATCAAGGGATTGTTGTTGTCCACATTAGAGGAGGGCAAATTGTTTTTTTTAAAAAAACACATACACACACAAGTTCAATGGTAGAATATGTACCATGCAAGCCAAAATTCCAGATTAAATCATTGCCATCTCTGGGTAGAGTTGGCAAAATTTCATGCCTGCAGCCCTGGAGAACTATAGTGGTGCCTTGCTTAACGATTACCTCGTTAAACGACGAAACCACTTGATGATGAAGTTTTTGCGATTGCAAAATGATGTTCTAATAGGGAAAAATCGCTTAACAATGATCAGTTCCCTGCTTCGGGAACCGATTTTTTGCTAAACGATGATTTAGAAACAGCTGGTCAGCGCCTCCAAAATGGCTTCCCACTGTGTTTTCAGGACTGATTCCTCGCTTTAAGGCCCCGAAAATGGCTGCCCCATGGAGGATCTTCGCTGGACACTGAGGTATTTAGCCCACTGGAACGCATTGAACCGGTTTCAATGCATTTCAATGGGCTTTTTCATTTCGCTTGACAAGGATTTCGCTTAACAGCGATTTCAATGGAACGAATTATCCTCGTCAAGCGAGACACCACTGTATTGTCCATCAGTACAATCAATACTGAGTTGGGAGCACCATCTGATCCTCCATAAGGTAATTCTTATGTTCACCTAGTGGACCACAGAATAGATGGATGAGAGCTGCTCCCAACGCTCAGCCTTCTGGCAAATGTAACAGTAAACAGATGCTTGAAAAGATATGTAGCACATGCATTTTACATTTTGATGTATATTTTGATTTTGTGGTTTGGAGCTTGTAGAAAACATGTTCAATATAGACAGGGAAGATTTTGAATCATTTCACACACCAAAACCCAAGCCAAAATGCCCATAATTATGTAGATTCTTTAAAAATTGCAAAGCATTTCTGAATTCTCTTAAATAAGGCACTCTCCACTGAAAAGATAGCCAATTAATTCATATATATGAATCACTACACCTCTAGACAAACATTAAAAGTGAAATTCACAGCAGATGGGGGTTGACCAAATACAGACAAGCCAGAATAAGATAATAAGCAGATGCTGGGATCCCAGGAAGCGGCGGAACTGCATTAATAGCAGATGATAGGTCTGTTGACCAGGCAAAGAGGGGAGAGAAAGCAGCTGCAAGGAAAGATAAGTAATCAGTGCTCCTGCTGTCTGCTAACAAACAGGAACTGCTAGTTGTAATCAGCTGGAACAATGTATGGGAGGTCATGTATCCAGTTCGAGAAAGCTATTTCTATACAGGTCATGTGCACGCATTAAACCTCTGCCTAATCCTTCTCACTTCTTTTTATTATTTGTGCTCATGCATCTGATGCCATCTTTAATGCTGTCTTTCCTCCCTGCTGACCCATAGTTATTTGGCACATCCAAAGTTAGACCGTAAAGTTTTTGGAGCAGAAATGCCTGTTTTTCTTTCGCAGCAAACTCAGTCAAGAATCTTGTCATACCTTAAAGATCAAGAAGGTTTATTTGGCCTACGCTTTCATGGACTATAGGTCACTTCTTCAGAGGCATGCTGGGCAACAGTACAAACATTTCATGCTGGGGAAAAAAAATCCCACCTGTTGGCCAAAAACCTATTGTGGATTTAGACTTCCATAAGGGAAATCATGTAAGTTGTAGCAGCAAATTGTTACTCATTAACAATCTGCTGGTTGCATTCCCGGGTGCATGCCTGATTGCAGACGCTCACATACATGTCCAGTAAAATGATCAGCACCTGCTTAATGAGCAGCAATTTGCCACCAAGACATAGGTGATCTCACTTATGGCAGTGTAGATTGACAACAGGAATCTGGCCATTAGTCTTCAAAGGCTGAAATTCTTTTGCTTAATGTTAAAAGTAGGCAACTACAGTAGGTCCATTTAATCAATGGAGTCTACAGAGGAGTTGACTTGCCAAATCCTCACTGGCTCAATGGCTGTATTCTAGTTGCGACTCATGATCCTTAGCATCGGGATGTCAACCAAATGGGTCACAAGACTTTAGCCAAAATCCTACTGAGGAAAAAATGTGCTTGCAAAGACAACTGCTTTTGCCTGCTGCCCATCACAAAGTGAACTCTATAACTGACAGATGACACAATGTATAGCCAACAAACCAGGTATGTTAGCTTGTATAATTGCCCTTATGCAGTCAAAAGAGGCAACAGTGATTCTGGTCTATTTTTTCCCCAGCCCATGCAAAAGACTACTAATGGATGACTAACTCACTCTTCTGCAAATTTCTATATTCGTCTGAAAAGCATATTCAAAGACAACAGCCACAAGACTCACAACTGTGATTGAAATTATGTTAACCCTTTCTTGTCTCTACCCCTGTCGGATGGCTGAACCCCCCCCCCCTTTTGAACCAAAAAAAGCTACTTGGGCTGAGGAGATTTTGAAAGCAGAAAGTTGGAAAGAGAGCAGGGAGACTATGGAGAGACAGAGAATGTGAGGGAACCCCATGGAAGAGACCGTGGAGAAAAAAGCGGCCACCACCTTTTGCTCTCGTGGAGCAGAACCTGAGGCCTGCACCAGACAGATGCCAGCTTGAGAGACTTTGAACACTTACCTGTGTATAATTCAGTCACAGGATTCCATTCCCTCTTACTGTGCTGCTTAAAGACTGACTTTGAAATTGTAACTGTACATCCATCTGAGTTGTTTCCCTTTCTTTCTCCCCATTAAAATAAATCTTAGTTTGTGTCTTGGCCTATTCTATTACGTTGCCACTTGATTGCTCCCCCTATCCCAGGGGTCCCCAACCCCCGGTCCATGGCCTGGTGCCGGTCCGTGGGCTTCCTTGAACTGGGCTGCGGACACGGATCTTTGGCACCCCCACGCATGGTGGGTGTGTCATGTTTCCAGAGGGGCATGTTGTGCTCACACGCATGCACGCAACATGTCCCTCTGTGAGTGTTACACGCCCCTCCAGAAGCACACCACGCCCAACCGCGAGCATGGGGGTGTCCCTGCCCCCCTGTATATGGAGGCTGCACACCGCTACCAGTCTGCAGTCCGAAAAAGGTTGGGAACCACTGCCCTATCCCATTTCAGGAAACATGGGGGCTGGCAGGTTGGCGATCCCGGGAGCCATTCAGAGGCCTGGGTATTTGAATTCTTTGCCTACTCCCACACTGACTGAACCCAGGTCCTGAAAGTTTGTTCACCGTGAAGAGCTGTTGATGAGTAGGGGTAACCTATGAACTGAGCTGGAGGGATTTACCAAATTTTAGTGAAGGGGAAAAGTGAGAAGGAAAGATACAGTATTTGGAAGGTAGAAACTAAAAGGAAGCCTACACCTTGCATACAGTAAAACTGAGTGGGGTGGAGGTGAAATACTAGAAGGAAGATAACCAGGAAAACCAGTAGAGTTCTTTGTTGAGGGGAACAAGATAAAGTCTAGTTGTGCCATTTGTTAATAAAGGCTGAGGTGGGGGAATGCCTGTCAGAAGGGGCAGATATTTAGCATGTGCTTCTTTAAGTGTATGCAGAAGGCACAGACTGAAGTGGCCCATAATATTTCAAGGGAATGCATTCTGCATGTGCTCAGGTGAATGCTGATGCTTTATTTTATAGCTGCGCAAAGGCGCAAGATGCAATTTTCCAGCAAAAGGCACTCTGATACGAGTGTCCAACCTCCTTTCCCTCATCCACCTGTGCCTCTCCCTTCCCAAATCTGTGTCTTCTCCCAACCAGAACTCCTACACCACAGATTTCCCTGTTCTCCTCTATGAACATGAGGGTGATTTATGATAGCTCTTCCAGCCCCTTCCATTTCTATTATCCCTTATCTTCCCCCTCCCACCATATGTGTGCTTCTATTTGCGGGTGGTAGGTATCTTTCTATTACTTAGTTACCTCCCAGGTTTATAGCAACATTTCCCATTTATTAATAAAAGTTATTTAAAAAAACACAACTCCTCCTCTTAAAATTGACCATTCTCACCAATCTTTATCAGTAGCTTTTACACCCATTCTGTCAGAATTCCTGTAAAAATAAATAAATAAAATAAAAATCCCCAGACTTCAGCAATTTTCAACATAATAAGGCATGGTACAAGTTACAATATTTAAATATTTAGCCCTATATAATAAGCTTTGGGGTACTTGTCCTTTCCTGAAACTAAGCCTAAGCATATGAAATAGCACATGGGTAATTTTTTCCACACAACATTCTGCTTCCTCATCATGCATTTCTATGACGTTTACTTTCAAAAAGGTAGCCCCAAATGGCTAAAGAAACAAACATATACACGTCAAAACCACAAATCCAGTAATATTAAGACCATATTCTTATTCTGCTATCAACCTACAAATGAACGTTCAACTCAGTGCTTAAATAAACACTAATTCAGTCACTACACAAAACATTCATAAATGTATAAACAATACAATAATAAAATACAATCCACATTTTACTGTGCAACACACGCACACACACACACACACACACAGGCACACACACAATCCCTTTCCAGCTAGCTAATAAGAAGAAGAAGGAAAAAAACACATTTCCATTCAGTCATGCTAAACCATTCACTCTTCTGACTGAAACTATATTGCATACAATCTGGGGCAGGGTCTTTATTTTTTCTTTATGTTATTCTGTGTAGCCTCATGCATATTGGAGCTGGAATAAAACCCACCCCCATCTGCATCCTGACAAAGAGGCCTAAACCTTGACCTCAGCTTTTCCAGTGGAAATGCCTACATTACATGGAGGTGGTATTTCCTTCATCCTCATCCCCAGAGCGATAAAACATGCCACTTCACTTCAAGGAAAAAAAAATCCTGCTGTTGTTTACTCTCCACTTTTCTTCCTCATGCATAAACGTGCTTATTCATTTCGCTTGACAAGGATTTCGCAGGTAGTCAGATGTTCTGTGGCAAATGAACATCATAGTGGGGCTAACAGTCCCCATCACAAGCACCTCCTTGGCTTTTGGGAAAGGACAATGCAATATGTATCTGTCACAACAGAATCCAAACTAAGTTATCTTGCACTGATAACTAGTCTGGATTCGGAACTCTGTACACATACATTACTAGCAAACACTAGAGCAACATGTTATGTCAAACCAATGTTTTTAATGGCACAGAGAATAAAGTGGTTTTTGTGAAGATACCTGAGCGGGTGATATCCTCTATGTGCATTATTTAAACTGGACGCGGGCAAGCTTGGTGGGCCCAGGAGCCCATTTTCCACCACAGGACCTGCCATGGGTTGCAGTGCTCCAAATGAAACCAAAACTAAATGAAACTCCCTCCTGGTTTTCTACAACTCCTTGACAGCACTTGGGGTGAGGGAGAAAAATCCCTTGTTCTGAAGGCTTCTGAGAGTGGCAGCCTTCCACCTTCAATGGCATTTGTTTTGTGAGGGCTGAAAAACTGCATGGGTGGCATGTGCCACCTAGAAATTGTGGGTCGCCAATCCTTGTTATAAAACCACAGGCAACCCGCCCCCTTGGGAGGAAAAGAGGCATAAATGTATTTGTACATCATCCAAAATCATGCATAACATGAATGGTGTGTATTATGTGCATTTAAAAAAAGAAAAAGGGCAATTTTACATCTAGAGAAGCTGAATCATGGTTTATAATTTCTGCATATTGATAAAGTATAAACCAGGTACTGCCCTTAAGCTTTCATGATTATTTCTAAGTCACTGAGACCGTGCATCGTCTCAAAATACTGAATCCTGCACACCTTGGTATATTTTGATTATAGTATACCCACATTTGTAACAAGTTAATGCCTGAGGAACTCTTTACAAAGTCTGACTTGCTTAGACATTTAGCAGAAGAATAAGACTTAGAAGGTGACTTGGCAGGCTAGGTTTCGGACTTTTGACTTGATTTACCAAATTTGCAAAGATGATTTCCTTTAAGCTGACCACTTTATGATTTTGCTCTCACGCTAAGCTTTCTTTTTTTTTTAACACTGAACAAGGTTATATATATATTTTTTAAAAAGCTCAAATTGAGAAAGTCCATGCTGCACCAGATCTTTATACTACAAAAGATGGGAAGAATGTATTTTCCCCCCAGAAATAACTGATTATTTACCTTTCTTTAATCGACATGGTTTTGCTGGATGCATCCAGGGCGTCCTCCGTGGTGTCTGCTTTGCTCTCTCTAGACTCCAATTTTTCCTCTAACAGCTCTGACGTTTCCTGCTGCCTACAGGATACCACAGCAGTAGACTGAGAAAAACTCTTTGTTGCTGCTGTTCCCACAAGTTCTGAAACAGGCTCATCGTGCTCTGAGGAGGAAAGATTCAGAATCAGTGCACAACTGCGATAAAATAAAATGCAATAAAATAAAAATCCTCTATAATGTGCCACTCAGGTAACTTCTTGTTTGTTGTATTAACTGCCTTGAATTAAACTCCCAGGGCTACAACTAAGGTGCTGATCACCATGATTAGTTTTTTTAACATGCAACTACAGTACAATGACAAATGCTAATGTCGTGTGCCTAGATAAAATAATCAAAGGCACCTATTGATGGGCAATTTTATTACTTTCCAGTGCAATGATAACAGATAATAAGTATTTCATAATTTTCTTAAGTTGTAAAAACACAGACAGTGCATATATATGTACATGAATGGGGGGAAAGGCAGTCCTGATGATGAACCTTCATCTGAATTCTGACAAAGTATACCACTACACCTGATCCCAGATAATATCAGACTATTCTTATCCTGTTTTCCCGAAAATAAGACCTAATCTGAAAATAAGACCTAGTATGATTCTTCAGGATGCTCATAATATAAGCCCTACCTAAAAAATAAGCCCCAGTTGAGTGAAACCCCGGCCTCCACCCTTGTGCAGCAAGCAGAAGAAGATGACACAACTGTATTTGAATCAATGTAGATTGAGGTACAGGAAAAAAATAAGACATCCCCTGAAGATAAGCCCTAATGTGCTTTTTGGAGCAAAAATTAATATAAGACCTGTCTTATTTTTGGGGAAACAGGGTATTACCAGTGCTAGGAAAGAACACAGCAGATAAAGACAGATGGGCAGAGGTAGGCTTTTCATTCAGAGATTTTCCTAATATTAATAATAATTGTGTGTCATCAAGGAAATTCTGGCTTAATGCAACCCTCTCTAAGGTTTTCTAGATACAGAGTACTCAGAAAGGTTTTATCATTCCCTTCTTCTGGGGCCACTCAGAGACTGCGCAGCTGGCCCAAGGCTGCACAGGTTGGCTTTTTCCCCAGGAGCCACAGAGTGGAATTGAACTTCCAGCCTCTGGCTCCACAGCTAGATACCTAATTCACTGAACTCTTGAGCCAGTAAGCCTTAAAGAGAGCAATTCTTCAAGGTGTTGCATTTTATAGTTCAAGGCAGGATACAAATATTACAGCCTGGTATCAGGCAATCTTTGAGAGCAAATCACATGCTCACTGCCTATTATATAGCTACTATAGTTCTCGAGTCTAGTCAAGTCTTCATGAATGAATGCCATCAGGCAATTCTTGTGTACTTCCAGATTTCTTGTTTCTTTGTCAGCTACACTTACTTTGATGGCTGCCTCTTGTCTCTTCTACTCTCCTTGTGCTGGGGGTTGGACCTTGCCAGCACTCAGACTTATGAGGCTGCAAGCAATCTTTGAAGCCATAGTAACTGTGTTTGCTTTTCTTAAATATGCACACAGGTATTCTAGGTGAGAGGTCTAGAAAGCTGTTTTCTCCAGAAGGAGACTACTAAATTACTTCCTGCACTGTCTCAGATAAACAGGATTGCTAGAGATTAAGGATGTAAGTATTCACTCACTTCATTCACCCTACAGCTAAGGGTCGCTCAGGATAGCAATTGGCAACAGGGTGCCAATTCTGCCACAAACCTATGGAAAACAATGTTCTTCATCAGAGAATGGCTGGTCATCCAGGGTTATCATCTAACCTCAGCGACAAGCAATCCTGATTTTATTTTACTTTTTGCATTTGCAGAAGGTTTTTCTTGCACCCTTCCAAGCATCTCCCAGGTAGCTTGGAATTTATTCTTGAGATGTGCATCTGGCATTTGCTGCCTCCCATCTCTTGCTATTTGCCCACCTATGTCCTTGCTTCCTTGGGCTGGGTGGCTCAACCTCTGCCCTTTGGTAGCTCTTACCTTTCAAAATAAGGAAGTACTGTGCCCTCACAGTACCTGCTTCATTTGCCAGCAGCAACGCCCTGTGCTGAGCCTTTAGGTGTCTGAGCATGCTACTGTTGGAGAGGTGGCCTTCCCATGCTTAAGTACCTTGTTGCAATATATACGTTTAGGCATGTGACCACCTGTTGTACACTGTTGAAAATGCACATTAACTTCCTGGGAGTTAATGCATGTTTTTAACTGCATGTTTCTAACATGGATTGCTAATGTCATTGCTAGTAGTTCTGGCAGCTCGTGTGGCCAGGTGTAGCCAGAGGGGCAGGGGTGATTTCAATGCCACATGTTTCTGAACCATTGCCCCTCAGTCTCCTCCTTCCCCATGTCAAATGTGTATATACTCAAAGGATATGTTCCCACCAACCACAAAGCTGCTTTACACAAGATATTTGCTGGGAATGGGAATTGGAAATAAACCCTTTATTGAGCATGGTGGAGCTGCACAGCATGCATACAGAAGACACCGTCTGGTGCTCTTCATTAATCTCCTTTCCAACAACAAAAGCAACAGCATTAATGCTGCCCAAGCTGAGGGCATCAGTCTGGAGTGCTGATGCCATCCTTGCCTTCCTATGGCACATCAGCTCTTTCGCAGAAATGTGCCTTCTTCATCATCTTTTGTCGCCCTTTGCCCTGGTTGGTTTGCACAAAGATGTCACTAGAATATGTTCAAGGTTCACTCACATCCATCTGACCTTAAACCAGAGGCTTCTCTGACACCTCAGTGGCAGAGACACACACCTTGTATTGCTGCCTGCTGCTCCTTCTTAGGGTCAGTGCTGAACAAGGCAGCTTCGTGACAGATTCCGTTTGGGGGGCTCATAATAGCAGTTGTAGGGTGTCTTTTTCCCCTTCCTCTCCTCTCAGTAGATGTTGCTACAATGTGTGCAGGCATCATTCCTGCAACCTTCCCCAAGTGGCTACTTTTTCTACCACACCCACATTTCATACTGCCTTGCAGACTCTACCCAAAAAAGAAAAATATCTGATTCTGCTACAGAACATACATTCTTCCAATGAAAATCACATACACATACAGACACAAAATCTATTAATGTAATATATCTGTCTCTTATTCCCCTGTCTGATATCCTCCAAAGGGGCCTAAACATAATATAATATTTTCCTGTTGATTTATAATGTAATAATCTCTTAATCTGCTTGCTAATCCTAAATCTTATTCCTAGCTATATTAAGTAAACTATACAACGAGATGTAGAGGACATAAGTGTAAGTTGAGGGTTAAGAAAAATACACAGAGAAAACTGCTGCAAAGCAGGCTTGCACCACAGCATATCCTAACAGCAAATGCTCAAGGGATTTATAAACAGCTATGTGTACTTTTCAATTGGAAAAAAACAATGTGAAACGCTCAAGGGATTTATAAACAGCTATGTGCACTTTTCAATTGGAAAAAAACAATGTGAAAAAAAAATACCCTTTGGTATCTGTGTCTGGTTCTAGATTTCAATGGTGCAGACAGACATCTTTTACAGATTTTGCTCTCACCCCAACTGGCCTCTCTTGGGAAATCCGTAGTAACTCCAATCAAGAGACACTGAGTTCTGTGCTCCCACTAGCCTTGATAGCGGAGTACTGTATCTTTAAATTTAAGTTCTCAGGCATGATGCCTAAGAAATACGTGTTGCTTTCACTTCTTCCTCGAGCAAGCAGAAACCTAGTCTTTTGCTTTCTAATCTATAGAAGTAAATTAGGAATTATTATTACACATATTTCTAAGCATCAAATTCAGATTTGGATATATTTGGGACTATCTGAACATGGCATTATTCAGTGAATTCTGAATGTTTCCAAATCTGAATGCATATCCCTAATTTTTTTGCCAAGGTGTCTCAATATGTCAAACCACTCTTCTTTGTTGAGTACAAGAGAATTCATAAGTGTTCATGACCGCCTTACTAGCCACCAACTTTCCTCAACACTTTAAAAAGGGAACTATGAAAAGAAGACTATAGAGTAGTGAATTTATTTGTACTTAGTACCATCATTAGCTTTAAGAAGCTGCATTTATGAATTTGCCTTTGACTTTAAGTCATGGTGTAGTAAAATCCACTGGCATAAGAGAATTCATTTTATAACAGACATTCTATTCTTGCCAGAGAATGAAACAATGGGGGACAGAAAGTGGTGTGGGCAGGCAGAGTCTGATAGTTCCCAGAAAAATGCATAGTTTTTAAGAAATAAAACCGTTTAGGAAATAACTAACAGAGTGAAGTAAATTGTTGTTGATGGAAGGACCTCCTATAAGAGATTATGTTACTTGTTTACCTACCACTACACCTACTATGCCTACAGATACACATTATTTGTCATATCCTGTCTTACAAATGCCAGTTGGATCTTGATTCCTGTATTGCAAACATGTGCACACAAATACTGTGTTAGACAGTGCAAAGAGGAAACAGGCTGCTTTCTGAAGCAACATAATTTCAAAGTTTGACATAAATACAGCATCAGAAAAATCTCTGATCGGTTTACTGAATGAAGATACCTTTTTCTAAAAACCCAGATGTACAGAAGAGCTAACTTTAATTATGAACTAGGTGTGTAGAGTCTTGTTCTACACAAACCCACTTGGGAAAACCAACCCCCATCCACAAACAGATTTTCAATAGGACATGTTCTGGAAAAGAGATGGCAGGCTGAGATCCCAACTAACTGATTTTCTTTAAAGCCACAAATACCAATTGGATGACCAGCGAAACAGAAAAAAACACTAGCAGGTTTTAAATCACACACTGTTGTCAGAGCATCAGAGCAAGAATATTTAATCAGTTGACTAAAAAATGCATTGCAACTAATCGAGCATTTTTTTAAAAAAATTACACGAGTTATTTTTAAAACAGGTGCTTAAAAAAAAAATGACCACTTACAGGAGGCATTCTTTTTTCCTTTCAAAGAGGACAGAATGCCTTCTGAGATGGGACTTGTCAGGAAACACTGCCTAAAAACAGTTTTCTCCTCCTTCATGACTGTTTTGTTCACATATAAATGGATCCCCATTGAATCCTTCAATTAATGGGTTACCAATCATATGATGAATAAGATATTTCTAATCACGTGAACTCCTAGAAGGGAAAACATTTACCTCTCTGCAGAGTTGATCGTGCCATGACTCCCTCAAACTCCATCCTGTCCTCAAAAGGCTGGCCTTTGACTTCTCGTTTCTCATGCAGGATGCTGGTGACAGATTCCTTTTGTTCAGCTGGCTCACAAAGAGACTGTGGGCTAAACAATTCCATGCTGCTTTTTCTTGGGAATGCATATTTAATCTCTTTGTTGTAGTCCTCTGTTTTATCAGAAACAGGATGTGGGGGCTCTTCCTCAAAGGAACTGTGTTTTTTTATGCCATTCTCTTCCCGTTTTACGAATCCCTTGGGCTCTGCCTCTTCATGCTCCCTCGACTGCAGTTTGCTCTCTCTCATTTCCACCGAAGGTCGCCAGAGTTCCGTTTTCAAGATATTTTTTAATGAAGGATCCACACATTCCACTGATGAGTGGTATCTGAAATCAGGCTTGTTGATCTCACTGACCGTCTCATCTCCTGCTGCCTTTAGGTGCCGATCTTTACTATATATCGGCGACAAGGCAGACACCATGGTTGATACAGATGTTACAACGGTGGGAGACAAAGGAGCGATTTTTCCACTGTCACTTTGTACCTGTGGCACAACACAGAGGTTCAAAACCGGTAATTTATAAATGCTGCCTTAATAATTAGCCTATAAAGATCATCTCTTTTGAGATACTGATATGGACAAGCTTCACAGGGCCAGCAGAAAAGAGCAGAAGTAAGAGATTCTACTTTCTGCACTTCCTTTCCCAGAACGCCATATTTTCTGAAGCTGCTTCTGGAAGCCATTGTTAATCAAAGATTAATTTCAAAGATTTGTCCTTTGTCTGTACGTAAGTATATTTTCACAATATACTTAGATCTGTGTTTTCAGAGTCTGTCTTCCAGAATTCCCCAGGGGTTTTAGTCTGAATACACAAACCTGCACATCTCTACCCCAGAGGTAACTGGACCACAAGACCCTTCACTTCTAACCAGCAACCCATGCTGGGTGAGGCAAATGAGAACTGGGACTCTAATAGCATTTAGATGGCCTGGATTAGGACCAGGGATATCCAGAGTTTAAGGTACCAAATCCACTGGGTGGTTTGAGCCACATGTATTTTTTCATTAGATTTGTTGGGAGACAAAATCAGGGATTCTTTTGTTGTGCGCAGTTGGACTTAGAGAAAGGATGTAATATAAATGCAATATATGAAAATATTTTTAGAAATATAAGCTGTCAAAAGTATTTTACAGTGTCTTCATAGTATTTATGCACTGTCTTCACAGACTACTTTAACATTCAAATTATACAATTCACATATTGGTACAAATCTATTGTTCTAAGTCAGTTTATGGATCTAACAACTTCCCCTCCTTCCCCTCCTAAATCTACTGTTAATGAATGCAATAACAGGCCCATTGAAATAATCAAAGCTTGTTTATATTAAGCTTCATTGATTTCAATCATCCTGCTAAACATTGGGTTTAGCCCTTTGTTTGCTGAGGGAATACATTTATTGAAGTCAAACATTTCAGAGTTGCTCCCTCACTAGGCATGGAAAAAAAATCCATCCAACCATAACTATATCATAATGAAGTGACACCCCAACATTTACTGGAGAAACTACATTATCAAATGTATAGCAAGAAGAGATTTGCAACTCATGCCATTTTCAATACAGACACTTAGTCCAATAATATTCAATGTTCATGGATGAAGATCTCTAGATATGCAAATCCTTGACCCAAAAGAGTTATTATATCACAGCAACATCAAAACTTTATCTTGATTTTAGTACTGTAACACAATTATTCAGTCAAGATTATATTTTGGATATTGTATTACGGTAAACACTTTCCTGTGTATTTGTTTTTTATGTGTTTTTTGTTTGTCTGTTATATAATAAAATAAAAGTTACAATAAAAAACCTTTAATTATCTTCATAGCTAATTTTTTTACTTCTACTGGTAGTTTGCAATGCTTATGCACTGCTATTTGTATAGCTAGTTTGGCCTCCCCCACTGTTTTTGTGCATATTTTTGCAGTATGTAAAGAATCCTCTGGTGTACAAACCAAGAAAGAAGACCAGCAGCTGTGGCCAGGAACACCTTTGACCAGTTTAAGACACAGTGAAAGTTATATACTTTCATGGAGAAAATCCCCTCCTTGATTGTATCCAACGGGGTTGGTTGCCCTACTTGGCTTATTTTTTCACAGAATAAGAAACTGTGAAAGTGTTATACTTGCACGTGAAACACCCTATTTTCTATTTGTCTTAGCAGGGGAAATTTCGGTTCAAATTGTGTGTTAAACCATGATAGTTGCTGCCTTTTTGCACAGATTTTTCAATATTACAACATCCAATGACTTGTTTGCATCTTACTGATCAACCAGTACAGTCCTCCTATATGTTTTGTGTGAGTGCTTTGCTTCATAGAGGGAAAAGAACACCAGTTCTGCAGTCTATTCAAAGAACAGACACCTCAACAACATAATAAAGTACTCAACATCTTGTTCTCCATGAACCATATAACTTATATTAAAGTTAAGGAAGATATTTACTGTAGATATATCCAAAGAGGAAAAAAAAGCAAATTATCTATTTGATGGCAATTTGGACCATACTCCTTTGTTTGAGGGTTGAGTCTCACTCAGTTCAACATGGCCAGGTTCTGCCGAATACACAAGACTGGGGTGTTAGAACAGTGGTTACCAGTCTTGGTTCTTCAGCAGTTCTTGGACTTCACAGAAATGTTGCTCACTGGCCATGCTGGCTAGGACTTCTGAAAGGTAAAGTCAGATCACAGTCCATCCAAGGAGAGGAACCACGATGCTAGAAGAAGAAAACATTCTATACATATACCTGCTCAACTTCTCCAAGTGTGACAGGCTGTGTCTGATATCGGGCTTTGGATCTCCTTTGCCTAATATCTCCTCTGTTTCTTATGGAGACTACCTTTGATACTGGTTGAGATAATTTGTTAAATAAGGCCATCTTTTCTGCCAAGGTAAGTGTCGAGGAGTCTGGTTCCCCAGACTGATCTTGTTCGACAGCATCTTTGGCTTCTTTTATTTCTTCTTTAGCAGAAGTCTTTTGGTGGGCAGATGCCTGCAACCTTAAAAGTAAAACTGGCGTTTAGTATTCAGTGTTTCTAAAAGTTCCATCATCATTACAGACAACCAAAAAAAAAAAAAAATCACGAAAGCTTCAAACAAAGCAAAAGAAAAGCCAAGAAACAATAAGTGAAAACAGCCTAGCTTTGTGTAGTTAGCTTAGAGTGATCTGTCAGAAATATTATTGCAGTTTTGAGCTATGATTTGCAGAATCCCCAGTCATTAATTAGCCATGCTGGAATGGGAACCCTGGAAATTGAAGTCCCATAGTAAGATGCTCCCAAGCTTTGCATATAATTGCAGTGGCATGTAATTTATACAAATGCCTCCACAACTGCAATGTTTGCAAGCAGACAGGTATTGTCCTGAAAAAGTTGTTCAGGTAACACAACGTGGCAACAGCTCAGCCATACGTGGGGATGAAGCTGCATATAAGCACAGGGCAATGGACATACCGTATTATTTGAACTTTGGTCTAGCCACTAAACCTATGCCTATGCCCACACTATATTTTATTTGGGGCTCTTTTTTATTAACATACCTTTGACCCCCATGTGTCACATACACACCAATGCATAATGAACAGACTGCATACCAGGGAACCAAACTCTTACAAGGATCTGACTGGGAAAGGAATGCCCAACATGCTGGACCATCTCCTCTTTTTAGATACCTGCTCCTTGGCCTGTCCTATCTGGTCTTGCCCTCATTACCCCTAGGGTTTTTCCTTATCTATGCACAGGAGAAAAAAACAACAACCCTCCAATATCTGCCCTGTGCATTACTACTGCCTGTGCAACGGTGAGCCATGTACCACCCAGGAGAATTAAAAAGTACAAGCGCCATGTGAAAGGACGGAGCCAGCAGTTCCACAAGGGCTACATTGAGCTTTGCATGCCTCAGGTTTCTTTCTGTATCACAGATCCACCAGGCAAAGCAGGCAGCCACAGCAGCAGAACAATTGTATTACTTCCCTTTTTTATATTCCTTATATTCATTGAGCTTGTTCCGGACTTTCTGTACATATGCAGTGGTGCCTTGCTAGACTATTGCCTCGTGGGACGAAAAGCCCGCAAGACAATTGTTTTTTGCAATCACTATGGTGCATCGCAAGCCTTTTTTTTCTATCACTGTGCTTCGCAAGCCTTTTTTTTAGACAGATGCTTCGCAAGACTTTTTTTTTTTAGACCTATCACCGTGCTTCGCAAGCCTTTTTTTTTTAGACAGATGCTTCGCAAGACTGTTTTTTTTTTTAGACCGATGCATAGGGAGCCTCGCAAGACGATTTTTTCACAAGACAACGATTTTCGTGGAACGAATTAAAATCGTCTTGCGAAGCACCACTGTACAGAGAACACAGAGAGAAGGTACACAGCAGGCCTACTCCCCTTTTATGGAGGAACTGTGGCTCAGCAGTAAAGCACATAATTTGCATGCAGAAAGTCATGAGTTCCATTTTCTGGCATCTCCAAGCAGGGTTGGAAAAGGCTGTACCTGGAACTCTGGTGAGCCAGTACCAGTTAGTATAAACCAGTGATTCCCAAACATGGATCTTCAGATGGTGTTGAATTACAGCTCCCAGAATATGTTGGATCTGTAATCCAGTTGAGCTAGATCAGTGCTTCCCAACACTGGGTAATCCAGGTGTACTTGGGCTTCAACTCCTACAAACCCCGGTCAGAAGAGCTGGTGGTGAAGGTTTTTGGAAATGGCAGTCTAAGAACACCTGGGTTACGGAAGGTTGGGAATCACTGAGCTAGATGGGCCAATGTTCTCAGTATAACGCAGCTTCTTGTCTCTTTGTCCTTAGTTCCATTCACCTGGGGGTTCAGAGACACTGGGAGTCCCCTAAGGAAATATTCACTTTGCTTAACTCTTGTTCAGAGTAAAGGGTATGTTTTACACAGGTGACAGATCCCATATCACAAAACTGCACCCTGTCCTTTTAACTTTATGTTCTCTGGCTTCACTTCCCTACTCCCATGCTTTCTTTCCACTTTCCCTATAAAGGTAAGACATTTTTGCTGGTCCTCGAGAGAAAGGAAAGAGTCTAAAAAAAATATACAGAGGGCTTGGGAAGCAGCCTAAAGACCAGAAAGGCCTTTGATCACAATTCCATCTGGATTCATAAATCCAGTGAGAAATCCAATGGACAGACAAAAAGAAGTGGCTGTAGCCAAAGGGTTTTGGGGGTATTTATAGGGTTCCTGTTTTATAGATCTAGAGGGATAAGCTATATTTCTAATTTATATATATATTTTTAAAAAACATCATTTTTATCCAGTGTCTTCTGGCAGTTGAAAACCAACCAGTGAAAGGAAACCAACGCAGAGGCCTTGGTGCACATGCTAGCCTTAAGAAGTCAGAGCATCTGTTAGTTTCTCCGCAGTGCAATTTCATGACATGGCTTTCCTTGTCTTTCCATGATATGCATTAAGTGAGGGAAATGCAGTCAAAGAAAGGAGAAGAGTTTACTTAGACCTATAGGTGGTGCAATTTCTCATCTTTCCATTAATTCTGTAAGCTGCTATCACAAGTCGGAGAGAAAAAGGAAAAGCGACGGGGGTGGGGTCTGGTGGGATTTATGAACACATCTGACTTTGCTTATTCTTATTAGTAACTTGACAAGTGGATTTGCCTAAATTTTTAACATGCCTTTTTCTCTCAGTTTCAGGGTGGACAGCTGTGGCCTTCCAGATGTTAATAGATTGCAACTCCCATGATCCCTCACCACTGGTTATGACTAAGGTCCAGCAACATCTGGGGAGCCCAAGTTGCTGATTGCTCAATTAAACAAAGATGTTCTGCTTATGTGGGCGAGCTTCTGAATGGAACACTCAATAGCAAAGAGCTGTATTGCTTTTTTACTCACACACAGAAAGCTGACAAGAAAGAAAGAAAAAACATTCCTAAAAGTTCCATCAAATTGCCTGCTTCATTTAAGCCAGTTGCTTTTATAAACGCATTTGCTAGCAATAACCCTTGTGCTCCCTGTAACATGCAAGTTGTATCCCCCCCCGGTACCTGGTAGGTTGTACAGTGCTCTTAACTACAGTGGGATTAGGTATTCTTGTCACTACAGTGTGGGTATTCACAGTACATGAGGCAGGGACAGAGTCACTTTAAAAAAATAGCCAAGGGAAGGAAAAATTCACAAGGAGAGAGAGAAGAGAACAGGATTAAGAAAAGAATATAGCATTAACTACACAAAGACGACAAACAAGTAACTTCCCCCCCAGACAAAATGAGTTGAATTTTTCATAAAATCACATTGCTAAACCCAAAATGTCTTTCAGTGAATGTTTTCAAGGCCAAATTGTGTTGGTTTTTTTTAAAATAAAGTTTGATTGATTTCCCTACTGATTTTATATTTGAATTTTTGGCTGCAGGATCAGAAATAACAGTAGATTTGTAGAAAAGTTGTGAAAGGCGTAAAAAGTACAGGATATGAATCCATTATTTTTCAAGTCTAGAAGTTTCTGCCCTTTTAATAGTTTCCATAACTACCTTGTGTAGGGCTGCTCACAGCAGGGAATTTCTTTGATTTGGCCTTTAAGCCAAATCTACAGCTAATTCCTCGTTTATAGGCATCCTTTATTGCTTCATAAGCATTTTCCCAGATTTCAGATTTCATGCAGTTTGTCCTACTTACTCTACATCCCCCTCTGGAGTCTGAAAATGTAGCATTTTTTGGACTGCAGTTCCAAAAATCTTCCAGCCAGACGGACAACAAAAAAGTATTAATGCATCTATGCCCTCTTTCTGTCTCCAAAAATCAGGTTTATTGCTTTCACTTCCACCCCCACAGGTGGGGTTTATCATGTCATCAATCCCCAAGAAAGGGATCCCCTGGTAGCAAGTCTGTTTCTAACTACTAAACCATCAGCACCCTCCTAAACAGAAATGTAATCCTCCACTTAAAAAGCCAAAGACCAGCAGGACTGACACATTTCCTGGACTTACGTAGCTGCAATGACGACTTCTTCAGTTGTAACAGGCTGCGTGCGTGACCGGTCCTGCGTGCGCCTCAGCCTTCTCTCCACCGCTGTGTTTCTTGAACGTGGTTTAGGGATACTTTTCCCATCAAATGACTTTTCCATTTCCTAGAACCAAATGCACACTAGAATGAATAACCTAAAGAAACAGGAGTATGGGATCAAGTATCCTTTGTCATCTCATCTAAGGAGACCTAGCAAAGCAATCTTGGGCAGAAAGGAATTCAATTTGGAGATAAGAAAGAGGGATGTATCGTGATAACAAATCTCGGAAAGAGCAGTACATGAGACAGCAAGACACCCTTGGCCCTCAATGAACAGAGCACGTGTGTCCATCTTTTGTCCTACTTTATTTAGTTACTTTTGGCCTTGAGTAGTGTGCAAAAATACACTCAGAATTTACTAATACCATGATCCAGAAACAGATGGGACAGGCTGAACATTTCCCTCTCATATGTTCTCACTACCCATGGCTTAAGCAAACAAACATTTACTAAGTACGAAGCTAACAGGGAAAACTCTGGCTCACATTGGATGGTATTTTACACATGCATGTGTGCACCTACTCACACACATATCCACGCAGCATTGCTCCCTGTAGGTTTCTGGTCTAAGACCCAAGCTTAAGGAATTCTGTGCACTGCTGGTGGTGTTGTTTTAGTCATTAAATCATGTCCGACTCTTCGTGACCCCACCATGGATCAGCGCACGCCAAGCCCTCCTGTCTCCCACTGCCTCCCAGGGTTAGGTCAAATTCATGTTGGTCGCTTCAATGACACTGTCCATCCATCTCATCCTCTGTCGTCCCCTTCTCCTCTTGCCTTCACAATTTCCCAACATTAGGGTCTTTTCCAGGGAGTCTTCTCTTCTCATGAGATGGCCAAAGTATTAGAGTCTCAGCTTCAGGATCTGTCCTTCCAGTGAGCACTCAGGGTTGATGTTGGGATTATAAATATATAATCTTTTCAAGTTCTGAGCCAAAAAGGCACTTACTTTGAAAAGCAGCCTCTTTGCAGCAACACTCAGTTTAGCTCGTTCATCCAATTTCTCCTCATCTACAGAAAACAAAGAACATGGCAGGATCTTCAGATTTTTTGCCCTATGGGACATTTTCAAAGTGTTTTTTTAACACAGGAGTAACCCAGGGAACTACTGATTAGGAACCACACAGCAAAAGTATGGGAACGGCAGGAACATGGCTCTCTAATCAGAATATTTGGTACAGTATGTTATAAAGACACTATTTTAAATAAGCTCTACGAGAACTATGAAAACGGAGTGCTAATGTGAAAATGAGGCTCCCAGTCTCTAATTAACGAACCATGTAAGTTATTTTTTTGGCCTTTAACTGCCATTTATACTGAAAGTAAATGCACAGCATACTTTCTGGCAAATGTCTGGAGACTTTAGCTTAACAAACTCATGACGTGGTAAAAAAAATCCTTTAATGTAAATACACATCTTACAAAGTTACAGAATCGTAGTATAATTTAGTTGGAAGGGGCCTAGAAGACCATCAAATCCAACTCCCTGCTCAAGGAAGTAATCCAAATCAAAGCAAATCTAACAGATGGCTGTCCAATTTTCTCTTGAATGTCTCCAGGGCTGGAGTGCTCACCTGGGGTAGCTGGTTCCACTGTTCTTCTTCTCTAACAGTTAAGAGGTTTATCCTGATATTCAGTTGAAATCTGGGTTCCTGTAGCTTGATCCCATTATTACGTGCCCTGCACTCTGGGATGATCAAGAACAGATCCTGCCCCTCCTCTATAGGGCTATATTTCAAATATTTGAAAAGTACTATCATATCTCTCCCTTCAAGTCTTCTTTTCTCAAGGCTGAACATGCCCAGATCTTTCAGTCTTTCTTTCTTCTTAGCTTTTGTTATTTCTCCTCTTCTGCTGTTCTCTTGCCTGTTTCACTATCTAAACTGAAACCCCCCCAAGAGCTGAAATCTATTCTCATTCTCTGTAAAATTTCTTCTATTAAAATGCTACAGACATGAACAGAGTACCAAGAAACAATAATCAAGCATCAAAAGAAAGTGTCCTGTATTTAAATCCAAATAACTCCCATCTGGCTTTTTGGTCCATGAAACTTCAGATGCTTTATAACTGGATGTTGCCAACTAGCAAAATTTTTACATGATGAGCAGTTGCTATATGTCTACATTTGATACAGTATTAGTTCCGAAAAGTGTTGAACGGACAGAAAGTTACATTACATGAGCAGATTATACTTATGTACACAGCTGTACAAAATATGTTTTAAACATATTCAAAATGTAAAAGAAATGGCAACTGGTGGGAGTAACTGCCACCAAGCTTATCTTTAACCTCAGAACTGCACCTTGGGTGTTTAGGGGCAAAGAAATTATACACCTTCATCTGACTGAAGGGGCTTCTCTGCTTGGACGGATGACAACATTTGATACTAAATACATAAAATAAAATGTAATATTCAATACCTTTCAGTACTTTTGTTTTTATTATTTTTTCCACATATCCCAGATATGCTGGCATTCATTCACTCTCCAAGTCAGGTAACAATGCAAAACTTTCAGAATACACAGTTAATAGAAGTTACTAGAAACTGTAAAATTTTGCTAAAAGTGATGTTTGTCCTTACCCAAGTCCATTAAATTACCCACATCTTTTTTAATGCTTGTGCATTAGATTCACTGTATGCCTCAACATCTGCTATCCTTTCCCTCAAGTTCATGTGAATATCCTTGCTGCAACTCTGAATGAGAAACTGTTTCCATTAATTCGCTTCTAAGGGCTCTTGCACTATGTTTAGCATTATTTCTGAACCATATTATTATGTGGTGAGCATCCTTCTTGTTTAGACAAGTGCTGGCTGTATGAGGTTTATCTAGCATTTTATGTGCAGTATTTTTCTGCTCCTACTAAACTGTTTTTTTAAATGAAAGTTTTTGATAATTGTTTTTTTTTGGTGTTTTTTTTTTATTTTATTATTATTATTTTTTTGCTGCCCTGAATCATATTTAAACACCAGGAGTCCAGATACCCCTGTTACTATAAACAAATGCCACAGACAATTCAGTCTAAAACCCTAAATGGCTTGGAACCTGCATATTTGAAGGAGCACTGAAATCTGCCCGATCACGAAGATCTTCTGGGGAGGTCCTTCCCTGTGTTCCACCACTGAGAACAGTTTGTTATGTGGAGACATGGGGAAGAGCTTTTGGAGGCTTGGATGGTGCCAACATTGGCCTCATTTCTGCACCAAGTCAAGATGTATTTATTTATTAGAGCCTTTAGGGTTTAGGATTGTGGCCTGCACAGGTTTTAGTACTCTGTTTTAAATATTTGTAATGTTTGAGTGTTTTTTTTTATTTCAAATTGTTTCAAGTAACTTAAGTTTAATTTTAAGTTGCTTCAAGAAACTTTAGTTTTTAAAATTGTTTTATACAGCTTTGTAGCCCGCACCAAGAAGCTGTGATTGAAGATGGGCTATAAAGGTCTAAATAAATAAATAAAAATGAATATACTTTAGCTTGACCCTTACAGAAAACATCCTAAAGAAAAGGCACATACCAGAGGCCACAAAGACACTTTATGACTTTTATCTTGTAACTTAAAGACCTAAGAAATAATAACCTCAGAAAATTTTTATCTGTGAAAGCAGCTGCCTATATATTCCCCTGCAATGAATCAACAGTGATGAGGTGCGCACAGAGACAATACATACATACGAACATACACACTACATACTGCCTTAAAATCATATCCCAGCCTAGGCATAAAAGGATGCTTGGCTTTTAGCTTAATTCTTAAGAGAGGGCAACTGTGGCATGCCTGGGGGCCAGGTTTCTCCCCTAGGATTGTACAGGTGGCACTGGGTTCTGACATGGCTGAAGGTAACCAATCAATCAATCTCCCCTAGTATTGTACAGGTGGCACTGGGTTATGACATGGCTGAAGGTAACCAATCAATCAATCAATCAGTCTCAAAGCCCACCGCATCCACTTCTAGTTTTGTCCTCGGGGTTATGGGGGTCCCTGGGGTTGTTTGGGACTGGGAGGTCTGTACCTCCCATATTCCAAAACTGCTGGTTCAGAAATTGGGGATAGAGGCTCATTTTTGGTGAGGAATTTTTTTTCTAATGAGGTAGAGCCTTGGTAGGGTTCTGTGCAAAATATGAAATAACTCAAGGAAAGTATAGACAAAAAAATCTTACCATCAGGAGCTGACATTTCTGGACTGAATGCAGACCTATGGAGATTTTTGCAAAGAAAAATACAAATTAGTGGAAAAGAAAAACCCGGTCACAAAACGCTAAGCTTAATCATGGTCAAGAGGGACAACAATCAGGTTACAAATCTGAAAGTATTTTTTTGGTAATGATAATGTTTTCTTTTGCTATAACCTTTGAAGCAGGAAAGCAAGCATTTCCAGCCAGGTGTGAGTTGCATGAGAAGAATGAATTCAGACATCTCACTAAAAGATCAACACTTAAAAAATATTCTGCCAATTGTTACAGCACTGACTTTTACCTAGAGTCTTTTTAAAAATCTTACCTTAAAACATAAAAAAAAAAATCACAAAAATTCTCTCCATACACATAGGGAAATTTGGATCAACTGTTAAGTGCTATTTTAACTTTTAACACTGAATCATTTCAAAACTTGTATACTTTCACAACTACGTAATTAACTGAATTTAACTGAATGATACTTAAGTTATATTACAGGAATTCAAGACCTTGAAGAAACAAGTATTTTTATTACTGCAAAGTGTCAATCTGTACAATCCTAACACAGCGTGCTCAGCTCTATAAAATTGCCTACCTATCTGTTTCCTTTCGCTCTGCTGAAGTTATAGGTTGAGTCCTAAATCTCTCAGAAGTCTTTCTACTCTCCCCAGGAGAAAAATAGCGTCTTGGCCTTCGTGACCCTCTTTCGTGTTCAGCACTGCCAGACAAATCAGTACCTGATGTTTGCATCTCGAAACGAGATTTACTTTTTTTTTTTACCATGACAGAAAATGCAGGGATACGAACAAAAGATGAGGATGGAAGGGGGGGGGAAGGGAAGAGAGGAGAAAAGAGAGAAAGAGAAAGAAATGAAGGGCAAATAAATGCATCCAAATCCAATAGATCACTCTGCATGCTCCTAGAAAACCATGCACAGAAAAAAGGACAAAATCATTCCATTCCAGCCGCCCAACATCAGAACTTGCTCAAGGCAAGCAGAAGCACAAACAAACAAGAGGATTCAGGCCAACCCCACCTTCAAGACACGCGAGATGGGAATTGAACTGTGTATTGGAAGTGCTGCAAAAGGCAACTGATGTTGAGTTTTAAGTGCCATTTATGCCAAGAACGTGCAAGTGTCACACCAATTTGCTGTTTAAAAAATTCAGAAAACGTCACCTACAGTTCGGGTTTCTTGCTGGCATTGGCAGTTTCCAAAAACGCATTACGGAGCTGGGCAACAGAGACTTTAGTGTCAACCATGGTAATCTCACCATTAGGAACCTTGGCTTCAGTGCTCTGAAACTCCGCTGTGTTCTTTGCAACATGCTCCTTACTTCTGAACACTTCTAATTTAGGAGTACCAGTATCATCAGACAGTGAACGCATGAGGAGTTTACGCTTCACGGGACTCTCTTCCTGAGCCTGTACTTTCCCTTTGCTACTCTGCAGATACAGGACTTTTTCGCTCCTTTCAACATTCTCTTGAGTCTTCACTGGACGTCCAGGCATCCGCTGTTTCCAACGTTCTAGCCCTCTTTCAGGTTCTAGAGGTTTTGGCTTGCCAACCTCAGGCTTCTCAAAATCATCTCCTCTCAAGTGGCTCTCTCTGCTTTCCCCTTGCCTACGGATTTCTGAAGGCAAACCTGGCAGTCTTTCCTGCTCAGTTTCCAAGTTGGAGTCACTGAGCTTTGGTGACTCATGAGTCTGAGGCAATTCACTTTTTACTTCATCCATCAAAGCATCCAGTGGAAATCTAGTTACGAAGTTGGCATTGGCTGGCACAGGGAGGTTGCTAACAGGGTTGCTTTCTGGTTCTTCAGCTGCCACCAGCTTAGCTGTATGAGCAATTCCAGCCGGCTGGACAAAGCCATGTGTTGGTCGGCAGACCAAACCGAAAGGTTGGCTTGCAACCCTATGGAAAGCGGATGTTTCTGACTGAAGAGGCACAAGATTAACAGGCACTGAGTGAACCTTTCTTTGAGGCACAGTGTCTGTTAGGAGTTCGGGGCTTCCACGAGCACTTTCCTCTTTCACGAGTTTCTCTCTAACTTTTACTCTTTAAGAAAGAAAAATGGATTAAAGATGTGGTTTAGCTGTAACTAAGTGGGACAGAGAAAGAAAAAAAAACATGCACCAACATATGGAATACCCAGAAACATTATCATCAAAATAAGTAATTAGCAGGGGGTATTAGAGAACTTTCTTAAGAAGAGCTTTTCCCGTCATCCTAGCCCCCTAATCCCAGCACAAATTAGAAAGACACCGATTTCAACAGAGCCACTTTTTTGTCTAGTTCTGATTTCATGCACTACAACAAGAGTTTTTCAGAATAATTTATTGTCAGCTGTGTCCAATCTGCTGAAGAGGAAATGGAACTAAATAAGGGTAAATGAGAAACCAGAAGACTAAGGTTTTTCCTCTAGCTATGGACAGACAATGAAATTCATAAATCACTGCTGCACTGTGAAATATTTTTAAACACTGGCTTGCATTTTGAGGGCAAGGGAAAGAAGATTTCCTTTGTCCTTTCTTTTTAAAACAACTAATAACAAATTATTAGAAAAAGGTAGTAAAAAGAAGAAAGGACTCAATCAGAATAATGAATAGTGAGAGAATTAAGAGATAAAGTAACTGTTGTATTCCAAGTTGTTTCTTGGAATACTTATTTGTGAACTGTGTGTTAATGTGCTTCTTTTCCTCTGCAAAACCATTTTATAGAAAAAGACAGATTAAGATTGTTGCTCATGTATATTATGCTGAGAAAATATGGCAACTTGAAAACACATGTACCAAAAACTCACAGTAGGCAAGCATTAGATACTCACTACTACTACTACTACTACTACTACTACTAGTAGTAGTAGTAGTAGTAGTAGTAGTAGTAGTAGTAGTAATAGTACAAGTCAATTCGGACATGAATTGATCTGAGGGCACGTTGTTAAATGCGCTTCTTCTAGAGGCATCCTAGGCAGGTGCAGCTCGCCCAAGACCACACAGGCTAGCTCTTCTTCCTGAAGGCACAGTGGGGAATCAAACTCTCAAACTCTGGCCCCACAGCCAGATATGTTACTCACTAAGCTATCCAGCCATCTGTTGCTTTTATCTCTGTCCAAAAAAGAACCCACAGCCAGATATATTACTCACTAAGCTATCCAGCCAGCTGTTGCTTTTATCTCTGTCCAAAAAAGAATAAGAAGAATCATACTTGGACCAAAGACCTAGTCTAGTTCCCTCAGTAGCCCACTTCCAGTAGCATGGCGCCAGTCCTATTCCATAGCAGTTTGCACTGAGAGATACTCTGCTGCTGAAAATAATAGCCATCTTGATAATAGCAATGAATTATGCTCCCTGAAACTATTAATTTCCTTTTAAAGTTGTTTAACAGTCATTGATATCCTGCAGTAATGAATCCCATGTTTAGACTATACTCGTATATTGTGTGAAGTCAAACTTCCCGATTCTTGAGAAATTAAATTGTAAAGTAAAAAAAAGGATAATGGAAACAGAACTTTAATGACAGGTGTGATAGAAACAGACCTCTGGCTGCATAAGCCAGAGGTGGACAAGTTCTATGGGTCTGGTAGCCAAATACCCATCACCTCTGAACTCACCACAGCTTCCAGAGCAAGTTTTCAGAACATGCTGCAGGAAGAACAGTCCCTTTTATTTGCTGTCAGTAGGGTTATCTAATTTATTTCTATCCTAAGTTTTTTATTCACATCAGCAAGTACAAAAACTGACATTGAAAACTCTAAAGGCGAGAAGGAACTGATTTGTCAGTATACATGTAGATGTAGGACTCCCAATATCATAACAATAGTCAGATGACTGGGTGACTGGGAGGGGACTAAAAGAACTTGAGCTGCTTTCCCCTGGGTTTTCTCCCTTTTAGGTGCAAATTCTGCTAATAGTGTTAACTAAGGACAAAGACTTTGATTAATCATGGTTAACTTGTTGCCTCAACCAGGGTTTAGAGTCGGCTTGCAAACTGAACCTTGTCTTTACCAAGGTAACAGTCAACAATGCTCTGGGAATCTAAGGGTTCTGAATGGAATGTGCAACACCAGCCTGTGTGTTCACATCTGGTAAAGAGGCCCTTCTCTGTATCCTAGGAACACCTGAATACAGTGTACGGAAAAATGGAAGAGGGCCTCTGCTGCTGTGGTGTCCCAACTCAAAAATGGCTGCTTTTCGATGCCCAATTAGATTCAGATCTGGTAAAGAAGCCCTTCTCTGTATCCTAGTGTATCCTGAATACAGTGTACGGAAAAATGGTGTCCCAACTGAAAAATGGCTGCTTTTCGATGCCCAATTAGTAGCAACATAATACAATGCCCAACTCCCTCTTAATCACAACTGATGCCACCTTTTATGGTGTCAGTAAGATCTGAAATGTTACCTTCTACATATTCCTTTCTTTAGAAACTATGATTGGTGAGGAATGTTGACAGACTACATTATCAGTATCAACAACAACATCTCATGATGCCTATGCTATAAAGTGAAATTATAGCATTTATTGATAACCAGGTTTCAGAGTATTTCACCTATTGTTTATCAGAGAAGTACTCTTTGGAAGCATAACACTTTCATTTATGAAGACTGTATGTATAAACAGGGAGAATATTTCTTGTTCCAAAAAAATAATAATCAGATATGGTATTAATTTTACACCCTTTGCAATTTTCACATTAAGTGGAGCCACACAGCATGAGTAAAGGTAGTTCCCTCATTCAAGTGCTTGCAAGATTTTGCAGGTTTATATTCCCATTGCATGGCTGAATCCAAGGAAGGAGAATCATGTTTATGACATGCTAAAGACAAGGCCTGAATTTAGCCAGTCCCTCTATGTTCAGAGAAGCACAACACACACCAGTCACATTTCTAGTGCTTCCTACCAACACATCTTATTAGTAGTAAGTGAGGAAAAAGCAGGAATTCCCAGGAAATGGGTTTTATCAGAGCAGCTCTCTAAACATAAACCATATTTATTGATCCAAGGCCATTAATAGTGTCAATGACATTTGTTAAAATGATGGTGGAGGGAAAGGAAGAGGGGAAGGGAAGGTAACAGTCTGATTATTATGACTTAAGCCACACCACTACATTGTAGGATACCTGGAGGGCCAGTTGATAAGTGAAGCTGTGTCCCCATCCGAATCTTTCTGGAGATACCAATCGGGTTTTGTTTTCCCTGCACTACTATAGAAAATAAAGCTTCAGAATTTTTCCTGGGCAATATGTCAATACATGCACCCTCAGCTCCCCTGCCCCTCCCAACCCGTTCAATCTTAAACAGCTTTCTTGTGATTACTTTAAAACTATGAGTCACAAAACATAAAAAAATAGATTTGCAACTTTAGAACAGCTGCATGTGAATACAATTAGGAACATATTTACACGGTACATAGAAAAGCTATACTGTAGTTGAGAAAAGGATATCTACAAGATTAAGTGCAATGGAGTACATTTTGTGGTCTTTTGTTTGTTTTGTTCTTTTTAAATATATATATATATTCAAATAATTATCTCTCTGGGTTTGTACTCAGCAAAGATAATGCCCAGAAAGTAACACACTCAAATTAAGAAATGAGACATCAACTTGATCAGATTAATTGATTTGCTGTTGTTGCTGTTAAGCATGATTTATTCTGAATATCCATTATAGAAAGAGGATAAGTTAAATTGAAAGAAAAGGGCAAGGCCTATGAAACACAAAAAAGAAGTACCTCTTTTTAAGCGTATCCTTAAAATGTCTGGTATTGAGCCCCAATCTATTTTATAACCACTAAGTTCAATGTAATTTTTTCGTGTTCACATAGGCTTGGCTTTTCCTTGTATTTTGCTCTAAGGAAAAATATTTTCTCAGTGTTTGAAGATCATGAGCCCAAAAAACATGAACCTGGAGCGCTAAGGCTTCTTTTAAAAAAAATTCTCTCTTCCTCTAGAATATGCATTTCTGTCTTGATAGCCATGAGAATAAGTAAACATTTGGTCTTTTCTTATCAGAAAGCAGTGGGATGTGCAAAAGACATATTTAACTCAGCAATAAACAAAACTGTAAGTTTTCATAAAAAATGTGCAGAGTAGATTCCTGATGGCTCATTATATTATTCAAAATTAATTGTTTTAAATCAGAAAGATCATGTAACAAATGTTTTTGCACTTGCACCAGTAAAAGACAAGTCATGTTAATTACTCGAGACAGGCACAAACTCTACCAAACACCTAACAAAAGGTTGAACAATGACAACCACGTGTCCACCCCTAACCCCCACTGTCCAATAATCATAATTCTTAGTTCAAGAAGCTAAAGAGACATTGAAAGGTTTGGAGGCTAGAGCGTTTGATGACAGAGTAGCTTAATCTTTCTTGCAGAAAAGCTTTAGCTGGAGTCACACTGACTGATCTGATATGCAGCCAAAATGGAAAGAACGTGGAAACTGACTTGCACTAATCCCATTGAAAGAGACCTGCTCTAGCTATGCTTTGTGGATAGATTCATTTGATCAACACTAAGGTTCCAGAATATGAAAGCAAGCTGATATTGAATTAGCAGCTGGTGAGGTGGCAGGGATGCTTGTGTGCACACACTCTTTGCAGTGGGCAGCTTGTGGTCTCCAGATGTTGCTCATCTGCAACTTTCATCATCATGCACTGCCTAGAGTGACAAGAGCTGCAATCCAATATCATCTGGAAGTCACAGGTTGTCCACAGGTTGTCCACTGTCTTTCTTGTTTTAGAAAAAGAGTGCTGCTTCTATACCGCCCGATAGCGCTTCAAGCACTCTCTGGGTGGTTTACAAGTTAATTATACAGGCTACACATTGCCCCCCCCAGCAAGCTGGGTACTCATTTTACCGACCTCGGAAGGATAGAAGGCTGAGTCAACCTTGAGTTGGCTACCTGGGATTGAACCCCAGGTCGTGAGCACAGTTTTGGCTGCAGTACAGCGGTTTAACCACTGCGCCACGAGGCTCAGTGTTTACATAAGGATCATATGGTAAGAAATAAAATAATGGAGGATTACAATTGGGATTAATTTTAAACTCAGATTTACCCTAAATCCACAAGACACACACACACAAAAAACCCCCGAGTATTTAATGAATAAGTGATAAACAGTACATTGTTAATTATTTATAAAGTGTCTGATGTCCAATTTGTTGTCATTACTGTTACAAGAGGACTTAATTCTTTCAAAGTGATTAGAGTAAAATTCTCTGCTAGTGCAGGAGCGCTGGATTTACACTCTTGCGCAAGCAGTTCCACAGGTTGTGTAACAAAAGCTGCATTGAGTATCATCTTTGCTAACTCTGATAATGTGCTGCCCTTAGTACAAAAGGTATTGCACTAGCACAATCACATCATTGGATATGGGCTAATGAGTCTAAAGGAATTCCATTTTGACTATACAGCGATGCCTCGCTTAACGGGTGCTCCGTTTGACGAAGAAATTGCTAGACGTCGATGTTTCTGCGATCGCAAAAGCGATCGCAAAACGATGTTCCCTATGGGGGAATTTCACTTTGTGATGATCGGCCCTGCTTCGGGAACCGATCATCGCAAAGCGATGATTTTCGGCCAGCTGATCGGCAGTTTCAAAATGGCCGCCCGCTCTTTTCTGGTACTGATTCCTTACTGCACAGGCAGCGAAAATGGCCACACTGTGGAGGATCTTCGCTGGATGGTGAGTTTCAAGCCCCTAGGAACGCATTAATCGGGTTTTAAAGCGTTTCTATGGGCTTTTTAAAATCACATTACGTTTTTGTTTTACAGTGATTTCGCTGGAACGAATTAACGTCGTAATGCGAGGCACCACTGTACTTCTCTGTTCTTATATTTATTTTTTAACATGCATTTGACATGACAAGATTGATGCTTATTTGAGAGACTTTCACACATTTTGATAACATTTCCTACATCCTAAGAATGCACCAATTTCACCTGTTGATTTCTAGGTCAAAGGGCTGAGAAAAAAGAAAAACTATTCAGAATCCTATTTTCATCATTCATTGGGAACATTTCAATGCAAGTGCTATAATGAAGCCGCCTAGAGTGGCCTTAAGTGGCTAGATAGGCGGGATATAAATAAAATAAATAAAAATAATAAATAAATAAATAATATTTTTCCTCCTAAATTTAATCTCAGCCAATCATATAGAAATGTGATGGCGCTGCAATACTACACAGTGAATCAAGCTAGGCTATTTGCTTTATTCATTAAAGGCAAATGAAGCCCATTTGAATTCAGGCAATGAGTTTCTGAATAAGCAAGTGCTATCACTGGATTTTCTTACAATGCAGAAATTCCTAGTTCCAGAATTGTTTAGATGATGGGAAGAGGGTAACCTTTTGGTGCTGCTGAACATTTTCATGTTCTTTACAAAAAGAAAAAAAAGAAGACTGACACTTAATCAAAACTTCTTTTAATTAGATATAAATCTTATTTCTTGTGGCTGACACTTAATCAAAACTTTTTTAATTAGATATAAATCTTATTTCTTGTAAAGGTATAAAACGTCTTTCTTTTCCTTTTTATAGGATTTTTTAAAAAATTCGATTAAAAAAACACTTAATCTAAACTTCGACCTATATATTAGCTATGTCATTATGTAAGAAAGTAGTACTTGATGAAAACTGCTTTGGAGTGAAAATCCCTCGGCACTTCTAGTATGTTTCACTGAATGTGGAAGTGATCATCTGGGCATTTTCTGTTTGTTTTTGCTTTTCAAATGTCTGTTTCTGGCCACATCTGGGTCCAGACCAGCCCATATGATGGCTGGGAATGAGAATTTGTCCCCTAAGCCTTCTGACATTGCCTACTTCATATAGAAAAGGCAGTAAGTACTCTCCTTCGAGCCATATGGTGCCCTCTGCAAGTTCTGTCTCTCTTCCATGTTCTTTCATTTGCCCACCAATCTACTGCGAAGTCTTCAGCCACTTCAGAACAGATGCTCTGGGGCTTACATTCCTGCTAATCACAGTTCTTTTTCCTATCGGTTTCCTTTAAAACACACATCAGGTTTGAAATTCTCCTTCATTCTCTCCCTTACCATTCTCCTCTCATCACAGAAACTCAACAGATTTATCATACCGTTTTTTTGGTTTTTCCCAGCCCATAGTACCCAGTGGTTACAACATATTAAATTCTGTCTCAGGTAGTTTGCTTTTTTATTCCAAAATCCCAGTCAAGTGGTGCACGATTATAGCTTTGGAGTGAGGTTCTACTCCCCATGAAACTCGCAGAGTAACCTCTCTCTCACTCCCCTATGCACACTCAAATGCTAACAGTTGTTGCAGGGAGAAGGTGGAATGAACAAATGCTATGTATGCTGCCTTGAAGGAAGGAAGGACTCAACACTTATATACTTTGTCCAGCCACTAAAAAGGACAATGGTCCAGCATAGGAAGAGCTAAGACTTAGAATCACACTCAGTAGTGTTCCTTCATTTGAACGACAAATGACCCTCATTTGATGACCAAGAGGTACTAATTTTGGACCAAGAAGAAAGATGGTTTGAGGGGGGGTCAGGGAGGCCATAGATTTGGATATAGAAAATCCCTCACTCAACAGGGGTGGAGGCCTCAGACACAATCTGTGCCATCACTACCATCCAATGATGTAGGACAGTTACATCAGGACACAGAAAAGTTCTCCCAGATGTTAACAGGCATAGGTAAAGAGAAAGGAGAAGGAGGTTGCTACTTTTGGTCACAGCCATGTTCTTAACCCACTTTTGACATAGATTGCAAATGAATGGGGAAAGACCAGTTTGTAAGTTCTAAAAGTTCTGAATTGATTCCTGGTTTGTTTCACAAGTATCATCAAGCTTTGTTTGTACATAGTACATCTATGTACTTTCACTCTCAAAATTCATAAACAATATACTGGAGGTAGGGGTGGAGAAACGTACACATTTTTAACACTTCATGAGTTTGGTAACTCTTGTTCCTCATTCTGCTACCACCTAACAGCAACCTTTGATCTCATGACACCAGTAGACCAATAAAACCAACATCCTCCTGTTTCATCAGGGCACTTTAACAATTTCTCGTTTTTGCCCTTTTCTGAATGCTTTCTGATCATAATTTTTACGCTGTACAATCTGCTACATATTTCAAGCTCTTTCTCAAACAAATCTGTGAAAAGTCTTCCAACTCCTCCTCTTATTTTTGTTTTGGTGAAATGTAAAAACTCAGTGAGTCCCATAAAGTACATATAAATAATTGTATTTATCATTCGTAGGGATAACTTTTGACGCTTCCTTCCAATACACCTTTACCCTTTTCATAAGAAATCACCTTTAAGGAGGTGCAATATATGGTAATGCCATTCTACAAAGAGTGAGACCAACAGCCAACTTACCCTGATCTGGTGTCATTGAGGGAATGACTTGATGACGCTACCAGCTGCTTTGGTGAGGAAAGGGAAGCCCTACGAAGTTGCTTTGGCGAACTTGGCACTTCATTGAAGGAGGAATCATGGCCTGGAAATGAGAAGGAGGTGGAATTCTCTGATGCAGAAGGTAGATCGTATCTACTGAAAGAACTAAGCTCTAGAATTTTCCTCTCACTGTCCTCATTCAAACGTAGTTTTTCCCTTTCTGGAGAACTATCCTTGTCATGCCGAGAACAATCTTTAGAGTCTGAAGCAGCAACCCTCATCTCTTTATTTTCAATTCTTGAAGAGCAGAGAGAACTAAATTCTTTACTTTCATTCTCCTTTTTCTCACTCTTAGTTACTTTCTTCTCAGCCACATCTTGCTCCTTCCTTGTCCGGGTGTATTTGGATGAATATTCTGAGTCCACATCTGAATCAATCGAGAGTCCGTATTTTTCGGCCAACTGACGTCGCCTTTCTGCCTTGTACCTAGCTATTCTTTCTGCTTTAGATTCAAGTGCCTGGGCATCCATGGCTAATGGACTGTATGAAGGTGGCTTTGTTCTTCCTCCAGTGGATTCTGCTTGGTATCGGGATCTAGACTGATTGTCTACTGAAGACCGTGCAGCTTCTTCTTCATTTGATCTTCCTATAACAATACAGAGGAATCAGCTGCTTCTACTGATTTTATTTCAGTAGTTCTTTATGTTTTAAAAATATAATCAACACTTAGTATTAAAGCTTATCCTATCTATCCAATTGAGTGATTAAATTTACTTCTATTCCACATTTCCCCAAGAAAAGGACCCAATTTGTTTTCTACAAGATTTACTTCTACATGACTCAGTACTGAGTATAAATTATAAAATTTGTTTCTCAATATATGCTAGCTAGGCTATGAAATTAAGCAGAGCTTCTATGAGCTCAGATATTCTAAAACACTTGGCCAACATTTGCATATACTAATTTATTTCTTACCAAAGTGAGGACTATATGGATCTGTTGCACGCATGTATCTTGGTGTATCTTCTTCTAGCAAGCGATGTGTGACCAATCCAGGACAGTTTTGTGAAAGGACAGGCTGAGCATCACTTTCTATTCCCTCTAAACGCCTAGCTATCCTCTCTTTCCTGTGAAAGGCAAAAGAGGTTATACAAGAAATATCGCTTCAAGATAACAGGTGGATGAAATAATTTCTCACATCAGTCTTGGGCAAAAGACAACCCTTCAGATCTTCTTGGCATTCTGCTCCCATCAAGCCTAAATAGCACAGTCAATAATATGGTGATGGGAATTGTAATTCATATCTAGAGGGCCACAGGTTGCCCATTTCTATTGTCTGGGGTCATCTGAACTTCGATAAAAACAGAGGAAGATATAGAATTACCTTTTCATTTCCAAGGTAGCCTGCCCGTTTGGTTCAAAGAGTTTTCTCAATTCAGAAACTAAAACAGAACAAAACCATATACACAGAGATTAGAAATCTGAAACTATTCATTTTGCAGATAAAAATGCTTAGAAATTTTTTGTGGGTACAGTATTAGCAAGCAAGACACCTGCGAAAATAAAATAGTTATATTTCTGCCAGCTGAGTATTCCTTAGGACATTTTTCGACTTCTGAGGTGCCACTACTGAAAAGACTACACAGCTTATCTGAAAATGGTAGCACACAGAGGAGGGACTGACTCTAAGCCATAGATGAACCACTGAGCTTAAGGTAATATTTATTTTGACACCATGATGAAATCTGTTTTGACTTCCATTTCCAAGACAGGATTTTGACCTGGCAGGGAGGCGAAAGCTCAGGTCCTAACCAGTGGAAGAAGACAAGCTTGTGGATGGTTGTGGTTGTTATGTTCCATCAAGTAGCCTCCAACCTATTACGAATAAGCAGTCTCCAAAATGTCCTTTCCTAAACAGCAAACTCAAACCTGTGGTTCCCTTTAGATAGTAAATCCATTTCATATTTGGTCTTCCTCTTTCCTGCTGCTTTCAATATTTCCCAGCAATACTCTCTTTTCCAGGGAATATTGCCTTCTCATGATGTGCCCAATGTATGTCTATTTTATGGCGACCCTATACATTACTGACGCCCAGAAAAGTCCTATAGTCAACGGCCCTGCTCAGCTCTTGCAAACTCAAGGATGTGGCTTTCTTTGTTGAGTCTGATTTTACTTGACAGAACATATTTTTACTGTTTGGATGACTAACAGGCTAGCTCTTTGGCAACCACACCACAAGTTCTGAAGAAGGCCTTTGGGTCTATATGCAGTCATTTCCCCACAGACATCAATTTTTTAGATGCACTGTTAAGAGGCGAGGGTCTCTGTTACATAAGTAACACTATACTTAAGCCAGTAATAATTTAGGTGCAGGCTGAGAACATAAACCTGTTTTTATTGCTATCAATGGAGTTGTCATCATACTTTGCATACTGAAACAGCTGGGATTTTCCCCGCTGCCTGCCCCTTCTCTCCCATCTTTTAGAGAAAATACAGCTAAAGTCATCCCATCACTAAAGCCAAGTATCTTAATTATTTTCCTTTAACATGTGAGATCTGCAACAAAGTTGTTGTAATTTATCCCCCCACTTGCCAGAATATGCTCTTCTATTCCAGACCCCAACACCAGGGTGATCTTTCCTACACTACTGAAGCATTCTGCACAGTCTTACGTAACGCTAAACATACTCATGCCAGCCAATATCTGCATTAAAAAAGGAAGAACACACACACCACTCCCAACGGCAGGGCCACAGAGCTTGCCTGGTGGCACTACTGATGCCGGGGATTCTATGGCAGTTTTGCTGGACTAAATAAAAACAGTGGCCTTGTGGAGTGTGATCCCAACGCTTTCCTAAGCATGAACGAGGCAAAAATAGCACAGATCCAGCCTGTGCGGCATGGCACTCTTTCCACACTTGAGATTCCAGACAATCATATCACTTACATAAGTGAACACGTGACCAGAGATTCTCCTAAAGCAACTACATCCCCATGCTCTTTTACACCTAGCAAACAAGTAGCATTAAAGCATGTACTTCCCTTTACGTTCTACATAAAATTCCTTGGTGTCTTTTCAAGCCTCACCTGTAGTGCCTTGGCTTTTCTTGTTTGTATTGGGTTGCAATACTTTTTAAGTTGTGTTTGTGAGTTTTTGACATTGAAATCTGTGCATGTTTTGTGGCACGCGTTTCCTAATATGTGCACTTTTTCATCCATTTTTCCTACTTTATGCAGATTTACAGTAAATGCATTTCCCCCCACTGCTTAAAATATCTATATGCATTTTTAAAAAAACACCCTGAAAGCATTATAAGTGGTGTCCATTTATTTGCTTTCCATTTGAAAAGAAAATTTAAAAAAATCAGTAGTTTGCTGTTTCTTCCCAATGCTGGGAAACAGAAAGCTATGCTCGCACTCTTATTAATAGCCTTATTAAACACAAATAGGATAAATTAATTTTTTAAATGGTCATAAAATCCTTATATAATTATAGTTCTCATTCACTGATGTGATTCTCAAAGTTACTAGTAAATCCATGAAGAACACTGTCCATTAGATTTCGCTAACACACACACATTAACTATTTTCACAATCCCACAGAGAGGTATACACTTTCACACAGACATGCTGGGCCCCTCTGAACATCAGTATAAACTTTTGACCATGAAGAGCACAATAGACCTATAACGCATTATTGCAACACAGCTGGAAAATACAGAACATTTAAATGAGAGAGAAGCAACTTTTTAAAGATGTGCAAACCGGTATGTATTAGCACCAGCTTAGTTTGGATATCTTAGCCTCACATTTTTACACAGCATTTTCCTACGACTACCTGTCTCTCCACAACAGCTAAAAAAAGTCGAGGTCTTAAAATCCATTTACTGTGTTTCCCCCGGAAATGTTTCAATGCATTCCTATGGGAAATGGTGCTTCGGCTTACGATCATTTCAAGTTACGTCCATCTTCTGGAATGGATTATGGTTGTAAATTGAGCCACCACTGTATTATGGGAATCTGGCATAGATCAGACATTTTCAGGGAAGCAGTTTGGCTCCAAAGGATCCAGAGGAAAAAAGTGGGAAGGTTCTAGTTTATGGTTATTAATAACCCACTAATTCCCACTGCCAATCCAGTTTATGTCGTGACCCCTGGATGACAACTCTTGTGCGACACAGCTTGATTCATTTGAGAGAGCCATCTAGAAAAGTGATATTTTAAATGTAAACAATAACACTTTACAAAGCTGAGACAAGTAACCTATTATCATTAACAAAGCGGAATTTTTTTTTAAGGTCAGTGTCCTTTTGCTTTTTATTGCATGAACAGGGGAAATCATGGAAGTGGCCATGGCTAATAGAACATAGGCTGGGTGCATGTTAATTCCATGTCTCTTTGTGTAAGTTGGTCCTCCTCAACTCACCCCAAATGCTTCTGTAATCTCCTTTCCATGTGTGATAAAGGGCAAAAGGATATCGGATTTAAGTGTTTCATAACATTGCTCATAGTGTTTTGTTTTATTGTTTGGTTCTTTTGCAGGGGAGGGGGCGTGTTAAAAAACCTAGGAAAGTGGCCTGCCAGTTTTAAGGAAATTCCTGCAAGAGTCTCCCATAAACACGCCATCCTTTAGAAAACAATGAAGTAGGTATGTTTTGTTAGCAGGCACATACAAAGCATTATCAGTTGCCATGTTACTGCACTCAGCGAGGGCTGCCCTTGAAAATAACACAATTTAAAATCTAATTTTTATATATTTTAAACTATGTTAATGGTTTTGTGGGGACGTGGTGGCGCTGCGGGCTAAACTGTGCTGCAGGGTCAGAAGACCAAGCAGTTGTAAGATTGAATCCATGCGACGGAGTGAGCACCCGTCGCTTGACCCAGCTCCCGCCAACCTAGCAGTTCGAAAGCATGCAAATGCGAGTAGATAAATAGGGACCACCTCGATGGGAAGGTAACAGCGTTCCGTGTCTAAGTCGCACTGGCCATGTGACCACGGAAGATTGTCTTCGGACAAACGCTGGCTCTATGGCTTGGAAACGGGGATGAGCACCGCCCCCTAGAATCGAACACGACTGGACAAAAATTGTCAAGGGGAACCTTTACCTTTACCTTAATGGTTTTGTACTGTTTTTCTGTTTCATTCCCCCTGGAGATCTTGTAATATAGGAGAGGATATAAATATTCTACATAGAATAATAAGTATCTGTCACAAAAGGGTTTTGAATGTTGTCTATAAGGAATGCATGTCTACCATGAGCTTTTGGAATGATTTTTTAGAATACTTGTTAACAAAAAGCAACCTTGTACTCACCTTTTGGCAGCACAGCTAAAAGGCTGGCATCAATATCTTTGGTGGTGTTTACAAGTTCTTCTTTATCCTCAAATGAAAATTCTTTCTGAAAACTGAAACATCATCACTGAGTTGTTTTAACAGAAGAATGGAATATTCCGATACCACTCAGATTATTCTATGGCATGTACTTTTTATCACTAGAAACTCTAGTGTCACAGATTAAGGATGCTTGAACAGGTTGTAGGATTTACTCGCAATAACGGGAAGGGTTAGATAATACATCCCACGTAGTCTACATTTCATTCCATGTTCTGCCTTCATTTGCTATGTTGGTCCTTGATTCCTTATGTACAATACTGCTCCTATTGAATTTTCCTATGTTTTTATTGGACAACTGAGTATACAGAGCTCCAGTTCTTGGCAGCTATGCTGAACCTCATCTTCTGCTTATTTGAAATCATGCAGCAATCTCCACACCATATTTATATTTCTTTTAATCTTCTATAACTTTGGGCTATACCATGATTTCACTTCATTTTAAAGGACCATCTCAATGGCTGCTTTTGCACAAAAACTCACATCCTGGCATGGCAGGAGGTTCCTACAAGAGCTTGGAGCTGCCTAGACACACATTGTTGACCAGACTGTTCATTGAAGCCCACCTGTGTGAGTGACAGGCATGAGAGGTTCACTCTCCATGTTTGTTCTGAAACAAAATTTAAAGGTTTTTTTTTAAAAAAATCATTAGAACTTTAAGGCATTTGAGATGAGAATATCCAAAGAGGTGACTTTTAGAATACAAATGTGCAATTTATATATTTATTTGAGATGTTTCTCTGGGTTCCTTCATCACCAAAAACAAGGCTGCTGGCCACCAAAGAGAGGTGCAGAATTTTTTTGAATAGAAATGCAGTATACAATTCTTAAAATACACAGTTTTGTAGTTAGAAAGGTTAAATTTAGTGCAAGTCAAAAAATAGTATGTACTGAGAAAGCTCCTGAGATATACAGTGGTGCCCCGCTTGATGACATTAATCCGTTCCTTTAAAATCACTGTTAAGCAATATTGTGGTCAAGCGAAAGAAAAAAACCCATTGAAGTACACTGAAAACCAGTTCAATACGTTCCAATGGGCAAAATACCTCATCGTCCAGCGAAGATCCTCCATAGGGGAAGCCATTTTTGATCGCTGTCTTCCGGAAATAGGTCCAGAAAACAGCAGGCAGTCATTTTGAAAACCCAACGATCAGATGTAAAGATCGTCGTGAAGCAAAAAATCAGTTCCCGAAGCAGGGAACCGTTCGTTGTGAAGCGGATTTTCCCAATTGAAACATCGTTTTGCAATCGCAATAGCGATTGCAAAAACCTCATCATTAAGCGATTTCGTCATCTACTGGGGTAATCGTCAAGCGGGGCACCACTGTAAAAGGACAGATCATAAAGTTTTCTGTAATCCCTATAAAATACCGGTTGAACCTAAAGAGGTGGGACTAAGAGAGAGCAGGGTTGTGAGTAAAAAAATGGATCAGAAAGAGTGAGAAAGCTAAAGAGGCCAGAGCTGCTATTGTCACTTAGACTGCTGAGGCCTTTGACAACTTAATTTAGGTATAATTCCTATTTATTGTCACTTAGACTGTTGAGGCCCTTGACAACTTAATTTAGGTATAATTCCTATATATTTGTGTTAGAGGGCTGAATCCACATAATGAATTCATAAATTGCATACAACTGAATCGATATTTTATTTTAGGGTTTTGAAGATTCCACATCTGGAGCTGATTCTTCTAGGTATTGGATGGCCAACCCAATTGAGAAAGGTGTCTTGGATTTTTATCTGAATTTGAATTCAAAGGAACACTTGAACTAAACAATTCTGCAAGTAACGTCTGTACTGGCATTGCTGCCTAGGGCTTGGGTGCACAAATTGCAGCATTTTGTTGTTGTTATCATTGCTTGTGTTGCCTGTTATATAATTGTGAATAAGACTCATTTTGTGAAGTTCAACAGAAACCTAAGTAAGCAAATAGTACCCCAGAACTTCGAAGTGTTACATTCGCAAGTGTCACTGGGAATAATAAACTACACACAAAAGAATGAACCCTTATATTCCATTTTAATTAATCTGGAATGATTTAACACCCTTTTAATAGACAACAGTTGTAATAGTTAATGTAATTTAAAAGCCCCATGCCACTTAACCCATTAATATATGTTGAATAAGTGGAAAGAAATCAATCTTTAATTTTTAAAATGTATTTGTTTTATTTATTTTGAAACTTGGTTGGATGGGTTAATGCTTGGTTTTGGCCTGGGCAAGACAGGCCCAACAAAACTATCTATATCGCAGTAGCCAATTCTCTTTTTTAACATTTTGATGGAAAGACTAGTAGAAAAGTCTGACAGTAAGTAGGTTTATGCAGATGACATAAGTAATTAATCCAAGTTAGATTTTTAAATGTTGTGTGCATACTCCTGATTAGGAAGCTATTCTGCTTTTAAAGTTATATTATGCTTCAGGCTTGGAGGGTTATTCTGATTAAATTTTAGTGCCAGATTTTCCTGTAAAACTCAGGACATGTCTATCACATGCTCACTGCTATAGGCTAAGAAGTTAATATATTCTTCAAATAATGAATTGAAAAAAATGAGCATGGCTCCTAAGATATAAGCAGCATAATTTTATTTTGCTTTTTGCTTTTTATATCATTTTATTTTTTTGCTTTGAAATAGCCTAAAACATGGCACACATAATTATTATTCTTTCATGTGATCATAGAAGCCTCAATTCCATGTCCGTCAGTTTTTATGCTAATGTTAAACCCCCAGTGCTTTTGAATGACACTGAGTATTGATAAAGCTTAAAACCAGATTATTTGGCAAGAAAAGACATCCTATTTTTAAGACCTATAGATGAAGCATCATTTTTTGAGGCAACATCACTTGCAAAACTCACATTTTAGTACTCGTAGTAAAGACAGGATTTCTAACAATACCCAGTTGTCTAACTCAATTACTTATGGCAGATCTGCTAGATCTGTATTGCTTCCCTTTCTTGCATTTTCCCCTCTGGCATGAATCAGACAATGATACGATTTTTCCTGTTATTCCTCTCCTGCAAGTCCTTTGCTAGAGATCTAAATATTTCACATCAGCAGGAAGAACAAAAGATAAAAATACTCCAACTTTCTAAGTCTGTAATCACAGTTTATGCAAATGACTATGAAAATAAGAGTGCCACATTTTTTCTTTTCCTTCTTTTAAGCTTCTTGAACACACTTCTATGAATTTATGTAAAACTGTGAAGCCTAGTTCTATGGGTGGAAATTTTATGGTGATTTTGCAAATGCTTGAAAAAAGACCTGCTTTCTAAACTAGCTAATTAAGAACAAATTACTAGGCTACCCAATTGCACCTCTGCTACATTAGCTACAAGGTGAATGATAACTTTGGGGAAAGAGGGAATGCTTTCAGATAAAAAAGAATAGGAACAACTCTCTACTGCTGTGACAAGCAGTCTTTTCATATCCATCCTATTAACCCAATTATCATTTGCAACAGTAAAACCCCAAGGAAAACTCCACTTTGACATTAGGGCTTAGTGTCAGTCAGAAAAGCATCACCTTGAACTCCTTCATGGATAAATAACAAAAATGGATTTTTGAAAAGGAGAAAGACAAATACTCAAATACTTCCTTCTTTGCTTTCCCTTTTATACATGGTAATAAAAATTCCAGTTATCTCAGTGTCAGTCCTAGTGTAGCCGAAGTGGGACAACTACAAGACCTTCAAAGTTTGCATGGGGGGGGGAGGGGGCATTTAAGAAACTCTAAAGCAGTGGTGTCCAACCTTGCCCCTCCAGATGTTCTTGGACTTCAACTCCCAGAAATCCTGGCCAGCAGAGGAGGTGGTGAAGGCTTCTGGGAGTTGTAGTCCAAGAACATCTGGGGGCCCAAGGTTGGGGACCACTGCTCTAAAGGATGGGGAAAGAAGTTGGAACAGCCCCGTGAGAGTTCTGTGTACTCAATGGCTACAGACAAGTTCAGTGTAGGTAGAGAGCAGAAAGTTCTGAGTATAATATTTTGAACCCCTTGAACATTTTGTTATATATCTCATTTACTTGTTATATTATTCTTTGCGGAAAGAAGCTGGAACAGCCCCGCAAGAGTTCTGTGTATTTAATGGCTACAGACAAGTTCAGTGCAGGTAGAGAGCAGAAAGTTCTGAGAGTATAATATTTTGAACCCCCTTGAACATTTTGTTATACATCTCATTTACTTGTTATATTATTCTTTGCATGGAAGGGTCATAACTCATTAGAGAGACAGTTGACCTTAATGGTATGGTTTGCAAAGCAGAAGATTCAGGCTTAGTTTCTGGCATCTCTAATTAAATGGGACTTCGGATAACACAGCTGGGGAAAGGGTTCTCCACCTGTCTATCTCACAAGCAAAGAAGGTGGCCAAATCCAACAGGCAAAGTGGGGACAAAGCAATCCAAGAGCTGTTTTAGAACAACAACAGAAATTTCTCGCAAAATGTGTTCCTAAACTGATGCAGAAGTGCAAGCCTAATAGCTTGGGGCCATGCACAATAAACAAACAAGTCTTCTATAAGTATCAGAGGAGAGCTCTGCTTATTGATTTTGCTGAAGCAGAATCATTCTTCTCCCAATTAAAGAAACTTACAGGTTTATTGTTAATGGGATCTAGAGGCCATTATTTTGGATGCATGAAAAGCTGTTCTCAAGGGGCAAGCAGCCACATCCTCACAGTAAAGTTAGGAAAGTGCTGGAAACACCTCAAACTTTGCTTAGAGAGATATGGCAGAACTTCTGTTTCTTTTGTAAGAACTTTCTTTCATAGTCCTTTCGCCCCAAGGGAGGATAACTGTGCACCTGCCCCCCTAAAAAATATGTGATGTCACTATAAATCCTGTTGTCTCTAAGACTCTGCAAGACTCTCTGGTGCCTTTGCTATAATAAATATGATGAAAATGTAGAGGAAGGAGTCAACATATGTCTCACTAGGCATTCATCACTTACAACCAAGACAAGTGTGTATATATATTGTACATATATTTTACCTTAGTGTCCTCCTTCTTTGGAGTAATCTCGGAGTTTTATACCTGACTGAATTTTCTTTGTCAAAATCTAGAAGAGAAAGAGAGGGGGAAAAATAGGTTGTATCAAGAAAACATTCATCAAGATGTAAAATAAAATAATATATATTCTGTATTTAAATAGTGGGATATGGTTCCTTCCTTTTAACCCTAACCAAGCAATTAACAGGGAGCAGACAGAAAAGCAAGTACAATTTTGAGAGAAATTCCCCAAAGGGAACCCCCCAGATGTATCAGGAACCACAACCTACCCATCATCCCCAGCCCATATAATCAAATCCCATGTTGGTGGGGACAATGGAAGCTGTAGGCCCACATATCTGGAAAGTGCCTGGCTGGGAAAGACTGCAAAATGTATGGCAAATTAGCATTACTCTTCACACTTAGGAAGCTCTCTGAAGCCCAGTCGCCTTCCATAAAGGGGTCCCCGCCTTTCCAGACTGAATAATGGAATATTGAAACTTCACTGCTGTTATTTCTTTGGTAAGTAAACATGAAATATATGCAACTGGTTGCTCCATCTAACAGTCCACAAATCAGAGCAAATTAAATACCACTTTAACAGGTATGCCACAGACTTCCTGTCCCCTCCCATACCTACCCTAATAACTGAAAATGGTCTATTTGGCTATTCCAGGCACTGACCAGCAGAACCAAGCAAACCTTCTGGAGACCACAGTTCTCACTCCAAGATGGTAGGAAAACTCATTAACTCTCCTCTTTCCAAGAACAATACCACATCCAAAAGCTGAGCATGGGAATCTTCTCTCACTAAGGAAACACACATACACACACATACCAGACTGCTATTTGTTGCTCTAGTAATCTAGCATAGAGACTGGAAATCTAACCTTAACCCTAACTCTCCAGATGTTCTGAACTGCACTGTAAACCCAGGTGGCATGGCCAATGGTCAATGATCCCGGGAGCTGTAATTCTATACATTTAAAGAATGCTGTAGCATAGCCCTATTTATGTCTCTCCATACATCAGCCTTTTAAAAAAATCTTAATAGAGCTTCATCCCATTTACTGAGTAAGGATATACAGGGATGCAGCTAAAGAGTATGAGTGTTCTTGGTACACCAGTATATGCTGTATTTCATAACATGGAAAATATCAATGCAAGTAGTTGCTTTAAAGAAAAAGAGGAATGTGCACTATTGTTGAGGGACCTCGTACCCATACATCAGACCTGGGCAAAATGCAGCCCTCCAGATGTTGCTGAACTGCAACTCCCAGCAATCCTCACTATTGGCTGTGTGGGCTAGGATTGCTGGGAGTTGTAGTTCACTAACATCTGGAGGGCTGCATTTTGCCCAGGTCTGACATACACAGAGTTGCCTTGCATGTGTGCCTTAAAAGAGAGAGAGAGAGAGAGAAATTGGTGTCATTCACATTTCCCATCTGCAGCAAACAGGTACTGCAGTGTGCTTATTCCAGTCATTGTGTCTGCTGTTGGAAGTGTGAAGTGTCTCAAAGCTCGAAAGGCAGGAATCACTACACCAAGGGAGACAGTATCATATGGCACAGGGAACTGGCAACCGGCCCCTGCTTGGAGTCTGATACCTAAGTTGACCTCAACCCTCTCCCAGTATGTCTCATGGACTAAATGAGACAAGTAAGGCTGCCACATTATGCTCTGAACCAGCATATCAGAGTACTAATAAAATCTCTCATGAAGACATATTCTAAGTAAACAGTCAAAGAGCGATTGGGATAGGAAAATGTGAGCAAGAACAAAACAAAAAAAGACAGGCTGCATCTGCTGTACGCATGTGTAACCCACAGCAGAGCTTTGAAAGGTAACTCTTTGGACCAGAATTCCCGGAGTTCTAGGAAGTGTTGTCCAAAAAGTAACTTTCCAAAGCGTGTTGTCCAAAAGGTAACTTTCCAAAGCTACTTTGTAATTAATTTCCTGAAATACAGCTAGCTACTTCACATCTATTGCTAGTAGCCACACCACCCAAAGGAATCATTTTAGCTGTTGCAATGTGTTAAATTCACTTTTTTTTTCTTTAAAAAGAACCATATGCTAGAACACTGTAGGAAAGTTGAGACCATATGGTCACTCATTGTTACCTGCTCCACTCTCTGCCCCAAGTCCCAGCAACTCTTAAGGCTAAATCCAATTGCTAGTGCCAATTAATGCAGAAAGAGATCTGTTACGTGAACACTTATTTTGAATCCCATTGACTGAATCACTCTATGCTAATTGGGACTAATGTCTGGATTTAGCCCTGACTTTTAAAACAGTAGTACAGAAAGGAGGTGGGAGGGGGAAGAAAAAACAGTGCCAATAAAATTTTGTTTGAACTTAATTGTAACACATAGTGACAATCATGCCAAGCTATAAACAGTCATCCCCTAACTTGGCTTCATTATGCTTCCTACTTCTTTCTTACTGCAATTCTAGGTCCAGCTGACATGCCCTTCCATAACAAAATGGAGAAGAAAATTAAATAAAAGCAAACACAAACCCAATCCTCAAGACAAACATTACAAATTATTTACCACTACTACTCTCTTTGAAACCCAGTACAGTACTATAATAAAAAGGAAAAAAGTGACCTTCAAGAAGAACAGATAGGTATTACTGGAAAGACCAGCTGTTAATAATTCTCATTATATGAGTTTGGTTGATTTAAAGCCAGGTATGCATAATAAATTATAGGAATTTTAAATGGTGTATAACCCAACACAGCTTTTGGCACTGAAACCTCTTTCCAACATGAAAGCCTTTAGTAGACCACGGAGAACATTCCTTGCCATCCCAGCCAGAACAGAAGAGGTTCTCAGTGAGGGAAAAATAGGGTGGGATGCTATTATGATATTAATACATGACTCTCCATTACCCATGAAGGACCAAACAGTATTTTAATGCTTGCAAGGCATGGAAGATTTTAAATGCTGCCACACAAAATTTCTACAGGAATTCCAAAATGCTTTAATATGTCATCTAAGACAGTGGTTCTTAACCTTTTTGAAAGAAACGCCCCCTTGAGCCATTGAGGAAGTTATCATCGCCCCCCTCCCCGCGATGATGATATCTTTATTTATTTATTTATTTATTTATTTATTTATTTAATCATTTATTTAATCATTTATTTATTACACTTAAATCCAATGACCCCTGAAAACAAAATTAAATTCCAAGAAAATGAAATGTCCCCCAAAAAGTAACATTTAATGATTTAGTTGCAAGTGAATTTTAAGACGCAAAAAGAAATATTAAAAGGGCATCAAAACAAATGCAGGAACTAAAAATTTCAAGACAAAAAGTCTGAAACTAAATTAAAATTGGAGGAAAATATATATTCATGCACACTGTAAAAAGGCTGCAGCCATCTTCACCCCTTTTTGTTCTACTGCCCCCCTGAAAAATGAAATTGCCCCCTGGGGGGCATTATCGCCCACGTTAAGAACCACTGATCTAAGACATCTTATCTCAACATGTTCCATAATAGCTGTTCTTAGTACTGGTACACAGTCTTGACAATCTGTGTTAAAACTTTCAGGAAGGATAACAAAACTGTTGAACTATCAGCATTTAAACTGTATAAAGATGTTGAATGGAGTTCAAAGCATTTCAGTTTTTTAGGCTGTCTCAAGACATCTTAAAGCCCAACATTCTCTCTATAATAAGGTATAGCTACTACAAAAAGTGTCAGTATTATGTTTCTTGAACTGCCATAGGGTGAGAACAAGTGTACTCATAAAAACTTCCTCATTCAAAAGCTTTTCATTTATTCATCCACAGATTTTCTTGGTATATTTATTAAAGACAATAAACAATTTCTTGCTTCCAAATTTCAACTACCGGTATTTATTACCTTACACTCTTCTCTTCCCCCTACCAAATTAACCAGCCAAACCTTTCTTTAACATGTGCATGCTATATAACCATCACCTGTTTAAAAACCACCCTGTAATGATTAGTCAGTATCTACAAGGCCTTAATTCAACTGCTAGCTAAGCTAATTAGAAGATTCATCTAATCGGATTTTTAAAAAGAGCGTCCTTTGAGGAAACAATAAGGCTACATATCAAACTGAATGCAGATGCCCAAAAGAGGCAAATACGCGGTGTGACGGGCAAAGAACCTTGGCAGAATTGTTCAAATTCAAATGACTAATCATTCACAATCAATTACATTATTTGCAAAGTAAACAGAACTCTTACCTTCCTCTGCAGAATGTCTGACATTTCGCAAATAGCTGGATATCCAAGGATTTCGGAACATGGTTGCAGAAAACAAAGGGACTCGGCAAAGGAGAAGAAAACTACAATAGCTGCTAATTCTCAGCCAGCCACAGCCCCTAGGCCCGTCTTTGCAATATTGTATAGAGATTTTTCATAGCACAGAACTGGAGCTGTCAAGTGATCGCTTCCCAGGGAGTACAGTAAATGCATTGCAATAGGGCTGCAAACTGGAGCAGCTCAAGACAGTAATCAGATTACAAGCAGAAATTAGGCACATGAATGCTAAAACAGATTGGACAATGGTGACTGGGAGATTCACAATATTACCGCTTCAAAGTGTTAGCTAAATGACTATTTATACTACATCAGTTAATAACCAAAACCTTTCTTTATCCTTGTGGGGGGAATTTTTAAAAAAATCTCCTTTTTAACCCCCTAGAGGAAGGACAAAATTTATATATCTAAACGGAACATATTGCAGTGATTGTTTAAACAGGAATCAAATCCAGCCAGCCAGTATGCTCTCTAGAAGATTTGATGCTGGTAATAATTTTAATTATGTCAGACATTTGCCCCCTAGATAGTACACCAGGGGCAGGGGCTCAGAGTTATAGATATCAGAGCAAAACAGTTTATGGTTGTCAGCTGAGGGAGGAGAGGGAGGTTAGTAAGGATCAGAATCTACAAAATTTAAACATCATAAGGTGCTGAAGAGTGTACCTTTTCAAAATTGGTAGGGCACCGTCAATCTAATTACTTCATCCATTTATAACTCAAATAGTAAGACTTCAAAGTTCAAATCAATATGATCAGCTCCACATTCCCTTCC